TAAGGAAAAAATTCCCCTCTCCCTCTCTCCCCTTGGACATCTTAGAGATGTTACTTATTTTGCTATTAAATTATTAAATTAATTAAGTTAATTAATTGATAAGACGGTGGTGACGCTGCTGAAGGGCCCGCCATGGAAGAAACACGTGTTTCTGTTGTGTCTATCTGTCTGTTTGTCTGTTTGTCTGTCTGTGTGTTTGGGGTGGACAGCAGGCGCACAGTGAACAGACCGATGCTGCTGTATCTACAGGCTCTGTGGATGACGATCTCATTTAAATACACACAGCCTGGGAAAACAGATAAGCTTCTGGACACACACACACATACACACCTGGCGGGCAGTTTAGGAAATGTTCTAGGTGTAATTATAGAAGTCCTCACCCCTGACTAAGGCCCATAATTGTTTTGACTTTCCAGGCTACTCTATGTCCGTGGGTGGTTTTTCCACATGTCCAGAGAAGTGAATGTGTGTGTGTGTCTGTGTGTATCAGCCAGGTTGTAATGAGTTTTCCCGTCTCTCCTGTAAAGTAATGGTCAGTAATTGTCTGAGAGGTGATGGTCAGAATGCCCCGTGCTTCATTTGAAGTCCCTGCTGATCTAGAATCAGTTGTTATGGATGGGACTATTCCCTATTTAGTGCACTACTGCCCATAGGGCTCTTGTCAAAAGTAGTGCACTATGCAGGGAATATGGTGCCATTTGAGACAGAGACCAGTTCAGCTGGAACTGTATTGTTGTAGATGTAAGGTCAGCTGTTATAGATGGTTGTATTAATAGCCCCTGGGTTAATGAATAGCTTCCACAGGTTCCAGGTCAGCTGTTATAGATGGTTGTATTAATAGCCCCTGGGTTAATGAATAGCTTCCACAGGTTCCAGGTCAGCTTTCTCTCTCTCCTCCTCTCTTCCACCTCTTCTCGCCACCCCTCCACTTTTCTAGCTGTGTGATTAACAGTTGTAATAGGGGCAAGGGGAAAAACATGTGGAGACTAAATGGTTACAACTCTCATATGCAGAGTCAGGTCAACACCCCTTCATCCCATGGTATTTAAAGTGGAAAGGACAGCGTTTTAGCAACATGAAATCTTATTAAAATCTGTTCATATACACCCCCAGGAAGAATATGAAAGGTTATTTGTATTTATTTTTTCTGAAAAGCGAGCACTTAGATATGGTCATTTTCAAGTTTTCATAAAGTCATAGAATGTTTGGGAATGACGTAAAGTAAGGCATTTGTGAAACTTCTAGAACAATATAGAGTGGGAAAGCGGCCGTGCGTTTGGACACTGCAGTAAATCAAATCCCCTGTAGCTCAGTTGGTAGAGCATGGTGCTTGCAACGCCAGGGTTGTGGGTTCGTTTCCCACGGGGGGCCAGTATGAAAATGTATGCACTCACTAACTCTAAGTTGCTCTGGATAAGAGCGTCTGCTAAATGACTAAAATGTACAAACATCTGTCTTGTCGAGGACTGGAGCCTATGCAGACCAGTGCTACAGTAAGCCTTTATGCAAATATATGCCAGTCCTCGACAAGGCAGTAGCAACAGCGCGACTTTAGATCATTAGAACTCATTCGCCAAAAGCCACAAAATACACCTGAATGGATTTCTACATCTGTAAATAGGGAGTCCTCTTACATTTGGGAACTTTACTGTGCTATTGATCAAACAACCATGAAAAGGTAGGCTCTCTCTCCCTCAGTTACAGTGAGGGAAAAAAGTATTTGATCCCCTGCTGATTTTGTACGTTTGCCCACTGACAAAGAAATGATCAGTCTATAATTTTAATGGTAGATTTATTTGAACAGTGAGAGACAAAATAACAACAAAAAAATCCAGAAAAACGCATGTCAAAAATGTTATGAATTGATTTGCATTTTAATGAGGGAAATAAGTATTTGACCCCTCTGCAAAACATTACTTAGTACTTGGTGGCAAAACCCTTGTTGGCAATCACAGAGGTCAGACGTTTCTTGTAGTTGTCCACCAGGTTTGCACACATTTCAGGAGGGATTTTGTCCCACTCCTCTTTGCAGATCTTCTCTAAGTCATTAAGGTTTCGAGGCTGACGTTTGGCAACTCAAACGGAATACCCATCCACGACCCATTTTCAATGCCCTTACTGAGGGAAGGAGGTTCTCACCCAAGATTTGACGGTACATGGCCCCGTCCATCGTCCCTTTGATGCAGTGAAGTTGTCCTGTCCCCTTAGCAGAAAACCCCCCCCCAAAGCATAATGTTTCCACCTCCATGTTTGACGGTGGGGATGGTGTTCTTGGAGTCATAGGCAGCATTCCTCCTCCTCCAAACACGGCGAGTTGAGTTGATGCCAAAGAGCTCGATTTTGGTCTCATCTGACCACAACACTTCCACCCAGTTCTCCTCTGAATCATTCAGATGTTCATTGGCAAACTTCAGATGGGCTGGAGAAAGATGAGCTAAAATCTAACGAGAGAACATTAGATAAACGCTCTCAAACTTTTTCACCTAGTTGGTAGTCAAAATTGCACTGATAAACGATGGGGAATAGTAGCCTGCTCGTCCTGCAGCTTGCCTGCCAATGCATGCTTGTCCCAACCCACATTTTGACAACTGAGTAGGAGCTTACCTGCCTGTCCATTTGATCGATGCGAAATACATTTGATTGACAACAGAGTGTGATCGTAAATTGCCTCCAGTGTGTTAGAGTGTGATCTGAGCATAAATTCAGAGTGTTGTCAGATTGTCTGTTCATATATTCAGAGCGTTACACTCTCCGAGCGTTCAGAGCTCACACTGCACTATTGACACTGGACGCTCTGGCCGAGTAGGGTTGAGTCGAGCGTTCCTCACAACGGCAGTCAAGCACCCAAGCTAACTGGCTAAAGCTTGCTAGCTACTTCCAGACACAAATGAGAGAACACCTCACTCACATTTTACTCACCCGAGCAGAGCTGGTTAGGCTGTTTACATGTTATCTAGAGCGTTCGTGACTAACTGTGCTGCTGGCAACAATTGAATTACTTTTTTTGCCGACGTTTACTGACACCGGACATATTCAGTGTGTGTTGCGCGTTTGTAAATTCATCAGTTATTCTGCGTTTTGGCACACTCAGACGAGAGTGCTCTGAAAAGCTGCATCTCTAGCTGTAGCCACCGAAAAACGATATGAGGGAAAAAGTCAGTCACTTACCCGCTCCTTCAATGACATGACATCCTCCCAGCAGCTAGCTAGCTAGCTAATGTTAGGCTCTGTGTTTTTACCTTACTCAATAAATAGATAAATAAATAGATACGCTAGCCTATTAGCTATGTGTCATGACTGTCCACGAGAGTCCAAATAGGTCAGATCAGGTTTGCAATGAATAACTTCAATCAGACCCCCTTTCACCCGCAGAGGGGGGAGGGAAGGACTAGTGGTGATTAACAGCTCACGCCCTGTTGTAAATCAAAGGAGAACATTCAGGCTGCGCCCTCAAGATTAACCAAAGGAATGTTCTTTGTTTCAACATACTTTTTCCCACTGAAACTTTAACACGTTCAAAAGCGAATACTGGAATAATATTCTTAATGTAGAACGTGGGGAATGGTCAGAGGTGATCTGTTGAACAGTAAGGTCATTCTGTTTGTTATTTTGTGATGTCATAAAATGTTTTATAAAGGAAATACTGTAACTAGGAAAGTATACCCACTACATGTAGGACATTTCCATCCTATACGTTGTGCATGTAATATGAAAAATGATGAAAGTATTTTTGTTAAGATAGGGATGTGATTTGAGAAGCTCTAAGAGATAATTGTTTTTCATAACTTTGCACAGTTACTAGTCACTGCCCAAAGTGAGGTCAGAGAGCATGTCAGCCTGACGGAACCGCCCCTTTCCTCCAAAGTGTATAAAGGATGGGTTACGAATTAATACATTAGACCAGAAAACTTGAAAGCGGCAGCTACACTTTTTAAATGGTTGGAACTCTGAATTGCAACACGAGGTGGAGAAGGAAAACTCACCTCCCGGACAATCACTGGTACGGCTGATTAGCTGTCCTAAGTCAAGTATTTTTGAAAGCTAATTTAAGTAGGCCCATCCTATTACTCTGCTCAAGCCATCCTGTTACGCTACGCCCATCACCCCACTGGGAATCATCGATGCGGCTGGCTAGCCTATCTTCAAAGAAGCATCTTCGAGCGAATGGAAGGAAAATCAACTCTGTAGTTCTGTTCAGGACTACACGACAAGTCATCGGAGACCGAACAACTACGAAGAAGAGAACAACTGTAGAAGACTTGTTGGAACCTTTTTGGACAATCAGAGCCTTACAAGTGTGCCACGAGAAGGCCCAACTCCCTTTCCAGGGCAGTCCTGTCCACTGAGAGAGATACATGAACGAAATGGAATTTAAATAATTAAACCGACGTTGATCAATTAGTCCAACATTTTCATTATTCGCTCAGCACTACTTAGTATACTTGGTTGTGATTGGCTATTTCTGTGGTATCTCTGGTTGTGATTGGTTGTTTCTTCCTCTGCTCCAACCTCTCCAACCTGTGTTTGTATGTGAGTTTTTCAGAGGGGTAGAGATAAAAGTAAAAGTCAAATTGTGTACAATTGGGCAATAAAGTAATCTTCTTCTTCCTCTCTCTCTTCCAGCTGTCATGTATGTGATGGGAGCCCTGGGGCCGGCAGCGGGATATCTGTTAGGAGGAGTTCTGATTGGTTTCTACGTCGACCCCACAACTGTCATCCATATTGACCAGAGTGACCCGCGCTTTGTTGGCAACTGGTAAGAGGGTGTGTGTGTGTGTCTTCGTGCATCTGTGTGTGTGTATGTGTATTGATGTGTTCTAACAGTATCTATCTATCTATCTATCTATCTATCTATCTATCTATCTATCTATCTATCTATCTATCTATCTATCTATCTATCTATCTATCTATCTATCTATCTATCTATCTATCTATCTATCTATCTATCTATCTATCTATCTATCTATCTATCTATCTATCTATCTACCTCTTGTCCCCAGGTGGAGTGGGTTCTTGCTGTGTTCTATAGCCATGCTCCTGGTCATCTTCCCCATGTTTGCTTTCCCTAAGAAGCTGCCTCCTCGCCACAAGAAGAAGAAAAAGATGACCTCATCAGCAGATGACATGTCCAGCGATGATGATTTTATGATGGAGAAGGAAAAGGGACAGAACGTCCAGACCGGCATGGGCTTCGGGAAGGACATCAAAGGTGTGTGTGTGTGTGTGTGTGTGTGTGTGTACAGGGCCATAGACTACCTCTTCGATGTAACAGTCCATTGGTTTTACTTTGGGACTCTACAGTGTAAAGGAGGGTCTGTGAACCATTAGGGATATCATCAAATATGAATGTGATAATGGCTCAGTATCTGCTGTCCAATGGAAGCTCTATGATGGGTCACTAATCTGCTAGCCAATGGAAGACCAGTGATGCAGTCATCCTCAAACAGCTTCCATTGATCACCATGGAGGCACCTGAAGTAGACTTAGCCTTAGAGATCCTTAGTTAACCAACATGTTGTAGCAAAGCTGGAGTGATGCTTATTCTACCCCTCTCCAGATAGGCTACGTCCCAAATGGCCCTATGTGCCCTGGTTGAAAGTAGTGCACCATATATGGAATAGGGTGAGATGTGGTCCTCTGTAGCTCAATTGATAGAGCATGGCTCTTGTAACGCCAGGGTAGTGGGTTCGATCCCCGGGACCACCCATACGTAAAAATGTATGCACACATGACTGTAAGTCGCTTTGGATAAAAGCGTCTGCTGAATGGCATATTATTATATTATGACTGGAGACAGCTTGCAACACGCATCTGATTATTTATTATGAATGGGATTTATTTGATTTATTTATTTTACATTCGCCATTGTAACCACAATGTCACATATAATTGAACACATACACACAACATGAGCAGATTAACTTGGTCAAAACATGTCTTTATTAAAGATGATCAGAAAGGATGTTGGTACTTATTTATTTTCATCCAAAGCCACGAATGAGTTAGTCGCTCAGCTTTATGCTGACAAATATAGCTTTATGCTGCAAAATAGCCTACAAATTAGACCAAGCCTAAACTAATACATTAAATTGCCTAAATAAACTAGTACATTTCATAAATAAAACAAATAAATGAAATAGCTCAGGTCTTGAAAATATGAGCAACCTTTTTCCCCTCTGTATTCTCGCTGGACTCTCTTTCATTCAGTTTCTTCTTAACATCAGCAAAGAAGGACTCTGTGTTTCAGAAACTCACTTTATACAGAGGGGCTCAGTCTTTCCACACTGTGGTAAATAAAGCCAGTTTGTTATTTAGAATTATTTATTTCTGTTTTTTTGTGGGAGAGAACCCAAAAGCATAACCAAAAGCATAATCAACGTTCTAACTCCCCTATTCCGTGATAGTGTGACGGAATGACGCAATTTACCACCATCTACCACAAACGTGTCACAGCATAAGCTCAACACTTTTAATTGATGAACCACTGTACAGTGGGGAAAAAAAGTATTTAGTCAGCCACCAATTGTGCAAGTTCTCCCACTTAAAAAGATGAGAGAGGCCTGTAATTTTCATCATAGGTACACGTCAACTATGACAGACAAAATGAGAGAAAAAAAATCCAGAAAATCACATTGTAGGATTTTTTATGATTTTATTTGCAAATTATGGTGGAAAATAAGTATTTGGTCAATAACAAAAGTTTCTCAATACTTTGTTATATACCCTTTGTTGGCAATGACACAGGTCAAACGTTTTCTGTAAGTCTTCACAAGGTTTTCACACACTGTTGCTGGTATTTTGGCCCATTCCTCCATGCAGATCTCCTCTAGAGCAGTGATGTTTTGGGGCTGTTGCTGGGCAACACGGACTTTCAACTCCCTCCAAAGATTTTCTATGGGGTTGAGATCTGGAGACTGGCTAGGTCACTCCAGGACCTTGAAATGCTTCTTACGAAGCCACTCCTTCGTTGCCCGGGTGGTGTGTTTGGGATCATTGTCATGCTGAAAGACCCAGCCACGTTTCATCTTCAATGCCCTTGCTGATGGAAGGAGGTTTTCACTCAAAATCTCACGATACATGGCCCCATTCATTCTTTCCTTTACACGGATCAGTCGTCCTGGTCCCTTTGCAGAAAAACAGCCCCAAAGCATGATGTTTCCACCCCCATGCTTCACAGTAGGTATGGTGTTCTTTGGATGCAACTCAGCATTCTTTGTCCTCCAAACACGATGAGTTGAGTTTTTACCAAGAAGTTCTATTTTGGTTTCATCTGACCATATGACATTCTCCCAATCCTCTTCTGGATCATCCAAATGCATTCTAGCAAACTTCAGACGGGCCTGGACATGTATTGGCTTAAGCAGGGGGACACGACTGCACTGCAGGATTTGAGTCCCTGGCGGCATAGTGTGTTACTGATGGTAGGCTTTGTTACTTTGGTCCCAGCTCTCTGCAGGTCATTCACTAGGTCCCCCCATGTGGTTCTGGGATTTTTGCTCACCGTTCTTGTGATCATTTTGACCCCACAGGGTGAGATCTTGCGTGGAGCCCCAGATCGAGGGAGATTATCAGTGGTCTTGTATGTCTTCCATTTCCTAATAATTGCTCCCACAGTTGATTTCTTCAAACCAAGCTGCTTACCTATTGCAGATTCAGTCTTCCCAGCCTGGTGCAGGTCTACAATTTGGTTTCTGGTGTCCTTTGACAGCTCTTTGGTCTTGGCCATAGTGAAGTTTGGAGTGTGACTGTTTGAGGTTGTGGACAGGTGTCTTTTATACTGATAACAAGTTCAAACAAGTGCCATTAATACAGGTAACGAGTGTAGGACAGAGGAGCCTCTTAAAGAAGAAGTTACAGGTCTGTGAGAGCCAGAAATCTTGCTTGTTTGTAGGTGACCAAATACTTATTTTCCACCATAATTTGCAAATTAATTAATTAAAAATCCTACAATGTGATTTTCTGGATATTTTTTCTCAATTTGTCTGTCATAGTTGACGTGTACCTATGATGAAAATTACAGGCCTCTCTCATCTTTTTAAGTGGGAGAACTTGCACAATTGGTGGCTGACTAAATACTTTTTTTCCCCACTGTATATACATTGTCCTGATGTAAAAAAGAAACAAGAAAGTCCCCTCATTTACTCTCCAGTATTTTCCCAGGTCTTTCTCCTGTGACCCCATTTTCCTCCTGTCTCCTTCCTTGTTAATGAGTTCTCTGGCGGACCTAGTTACGTTCCTCCTCACAGCACACACTAATCTAACTTTATCACTCTGAAACTGCAGACAAGGCACGGCTTTCTGTGCTTTTTATTATGCTGTACATTACCTAAGCACCAGATGCTTGGGTTGTCTTAGCGTCGTCACTCTAGAGTGTGTGTGTTTGTGTGTGTGTGTGTGTGTGTGTATTTGAGTCCAGTACATGCATGTGTGTGTTTGGGTGGAAAGGATAAATTCAACACTTTGTGTTACTAAGGCAGGAGAGCACTGAAGTGGCTGTTTTTTTCAGTGGCTGTTTCGACCTTCTGAAAACTACTGTTACTCACTATGACTACGTCCCAAATGACACCATATTCCCTATGTAGTGCACTACTGTACTTGGCCCTGGTCAAAAGTATTGCACTAAATAGGGGACCACACAATGTTTTTTCTAGTGTCTGTTGATGTTTTTAAGAATCACAATGTGGTTGAATTATTTAATAACTCTTCCATTAATTTACATTTTAGTCATTTAGCAGATGCTTTTATCCAGAGCAATTAGGGTTAAGTGCCTTGCAAAAGGACACAGACAGATTTTCCACCTAGTCGGCTCAGGGATTCGAAGCAGCAACCTTTTGGTTACTGGCCCAACGTTCTAACCGCTAGGCTACATTCACCCAAACTGTTTCACTCACTCTGCACCTGATCCATTGGCCCAAAGACACTCTAGGAATTGATCTCTCCACTATTTTCATTCATTTAATAGCATTTCATTTCTTAGCAATGCTGAAAAAGTGGAAAATACTGGGGGGAAAACTAGACAAATAATTGACCAACCTGGTAAGGTAAATAGGGGAGGGGGACGGCCAATGCCTTGTAAAAACTAAAAAAGTCAGTTAAGAACAAATTCTTATTTACAATGACTGCCTACACCGGCCAAACCCAGACTATACTGGGCCAATTGTGCACCACCCTATGGGACTCCCAATCACAATACAGCCTGGAATCGAACCAGGGGGTCTGTAGTGATGCCTCAAGCACTGAGATTCAGTGCCTTAGACCGCTGCGCCACTCGGGAGCTTAGGGTTCAAACACATTGGATCATTCATGCCACAAACGTGAACCCCAACTTTCTGTTCTCCGATACACACAACCATGTGATTAGAGAGGGACGGCAAATTAAGTAAACAGTTAGCTACTGGCTTTCAATAATTAGGGTTCAAATTGTATCATCATGACATCTTGAACCTAAACATTCTGGATATGTTCTCATACACACACACATACAACCATGTGATTAATCCAATGAACGATAGAACAAAGAAAGGGTGAAATTGGGTTAGGAGGAGTTTATAGCTCTAATTATAAATCCTCTTCAGGCAGCGGTGGAGCAGGATTTGGGGTCCCTGGTTTCTAAAGGCTAATTCACATAATCTGGTTATGACTGCAGAGAGAGAGAGATATGTGGAAAAAAGATTTGGAATTGTACTTTAAGTGGTGAGTAGTGTCATCAATGCCCCAACACACACTGTCTCAACACAAAAGTCTCTCTACCACACACACACCACAAAATATACAATCTCTCAGCACAACACACACTCTATACACAGAGCCCTGAGAGGATGGTGTGTGTGTGTGCGTGCGTGCGTGCGTAAAATCTCTCTGTGATAATGATGATGCTTCCTGAGGTGTGAAAGGAAACAGTTTCCTCTGTGACCAATAACAAACAGCTGCTGTCCAATCAGTGATCACTCTGAGGTGTTGCAAACAAAATGGGACACCTGGTCAGTTCTGTGACTTGTGTGTTATAGAGATATGATGTCTTCCTTGTAGAGAAACAACTCACAGTGGTCAATGTTGCATATTGTGGATCCTTGATGTAAATCCAACATTTTCTATAAAAAAGAGAGCAAAAATTGTTTCAAATTGTCCAATTGGTGGTTGTCATTTGATGTACAGTAGCTGTGTGTCTAGATAGCTGTAATGTGTTACCACTATTGGACACACAAGAACACACCATCTTTGCTTCTGGTTATTTCTCATTGGGTCATTGGTAGACAGTGTTATTTGGGGTGAGTGTCCCTTGTCCCGCCCTGCCTTGCCCGGTAACAGTGGGTTATTTATAGGGCTGTGGTGTTCATGAAATTTTGTCCGCCGGTTATTGTCATGCAAAAGACTGCCGGTCTCACGGTAATTCACCGTTAATTAACATAAACACGTTTAGCATCTCCAGACCTCCAAGCATACAAGCCGCATACAAGCCTGGTCCTCTGTAGCTCAGCTGGTAGAGCACGGCGCTTGTAACGCCAAGGTAGTGGATTCGATCCCCGGGACCACCCATACACAAAAATGTATGCACGCATGACTGTAAGTCGCTTTGGATAAAAGCGTCTGCTAAATGGCATATTATTATTATTATTAAGCCGCTGATGTGCGCCTTTGGAACATCTACATAAAAAAAAAGTCAAATAAATTAATGTAATATACACCATCACAAGAAATCCATTATTTATTTTAGTCAAGTCTTAAAGAACCATTATGATATGAAGAAAATGAAGAAGAAGAACAGAATATGAGTTGGCCTACTGTATGTTATCTGGCTATGCTCCATGTCATAGGCTGTAGGCTTGTTCATTTAGCTGACAAGATATGCTTATAAGTCCCATTACATTATTTTATATTATTTTTATAGTAAGAAGAATATAATTGAACTTAGCGGAATATAATATAAATTATATTTTTTCCATTCTGGAGCGAGTACACATACAGTATAAAGTGGCTATGTTGAGCATAAAAGTGATCATTTGAAACAGGTCCTATACGTTAGATTGAGAGTTATTTGGCAACTTTAGTTGTGAATGTGTATAGTGTGCATGTTTACGACCATCCCAAAGCAGTAGTGCATATTGAGTTCATATGACATTCCTCCTGTGTGTGTGTGTGTGTGTGTTTGTGTGTGTGTATCCTGTGCTGTGTATGTACGTGTACATGTGTGTGTCTACTCTATGTTTGTGTTATGGTGTACGCATGTCTCTGGTCTCTCCCCAGACCTCCCCAAGGCAGCGATAAGGATCCTGTCCAACATGACGTTCCTGTTTGTCAGTCTGTCCTACACAGCAGAATGTGCCATCGTTACAGCCTTCATCACATTCATACCCAAGTTCATAGAGTCCCAGTTTGGCATCCCTGCATCTAACGCCAGCATATACACAGGTAAGACTAACACTGTTATTTCTCTCTCTCTCTCTAGAGAGGAGAGAGGAGAGAGAGTAGAGAGAGAGGAGAGAGAGGAGAGAGAGTCGCTCTCTCGATATCGATCAGATAGCTCTATCTACATCGACGACTCTCATCTCTCTCTCTAGCTCTCTCTCTATCTATCTGCTCTCTCGTCTCTCTCTCTCTCTCTCTCTCTCTCTCTCTCTCTCTCTCTCTCTCAAGGTTAGAGAGAGGAGAGAGATACTGAGGAGCTAGCTTTATCACTCAGTTACACAGGAGAAGAGATAACCCTCTTTCTTTATCGCTCTCTTTCTTTCTCACTCACTCTCCCTGTCTCATTAGTCGCTCCACACACACACACACACACACACACACACACACACACACACCACACACACACACACACACGCCTGAGGGGACAGGACAGTGTAGTGATGGGTCATGGTACTGTAGTGTAGAGGGACAGTCAGAGGGCTCTGGTCAGCTCTACTGTCGTGTGTGTGTGTCAGCCCTACTGTCCTGTGTGTGTGTGTGTGTGTGTGTGGTGTGTGTGTGTTTGTGTCAGCTCTACTGTCCTGCCCTCTCACTGACACGTTCTCATGCACTGACCAAGTGTCCCAAATAGCACCCTATTCCCTATGTAGTGCACTACTTTTGACCGGAGCCCATACGTTGCCATTTGGGACACAAACCCACACTCACATCACAACAACCACATTCCGTAACACATCGTTTTTACATTGCTTTTACTGTAGCATTTGTAATAACGTATTGTATTTATAATGCATGTATACTTTACGTATATGTGCACCAAGGTACCATGGCAACCATATTGCTTCAAAAGCTCAACACCCATCAACACATACAGAGTTCAGAGGACTGTTATACCTTAATCAGTGAATAATCTCTTCCAATCTATAACACTAATACTCTAATCTGTATTGCGATTATTGGTACTAGCAGAACTCAATATTGACAGGGCAGCCTTTGACAGCCCAGGGATGGAGAGGTGTGTGAGTGAGATGCTCAGACCATATGTCAGCCCCATAGCACAAACACATTGCACGTACACGCACCCACTGTGGCGTTAGTTCATCTGCCTGTTGTCAAGAAACAAAGAGAGAGAAAGATAAGTTACTGTTTAAGATGATGATGTCAACAGAGGAAACCTTAGGAGGAGCAGACTACAGAGTGATGGAATGATGAGGGCTGACCTGACCATTCATAAAGCATCACAGAGTAGGCGTGCTGATCTAGGATCAGTTTTGTATTTAGGCTTATAATGATTAAGATCACATGTACTGGGGGGATCTGATCCTAGCTCAGCACTCCTACTCTGATACACTTTTTGAACATAATGGGTATGAACATCCTATCTTGTTTTAAGGAGAGATGAGTGAATACTGTCATAGGATTGTAGGAATGGTAGAGGTGGTAAGGGTGTGTGTGGTGGGGAGGGGAAGGGAAGGGGTGTAAATGCATGTTTGCCCGTTTGTGAGTATGTGTGCATAAAGTGGGGGGAAAAAATTATTTGATCCCCTGCTGATTTTGTACGTTTTCCCACTGACAAAGAAATGATCAGTCTATAATTTTAATGGTAGGTTTATTTGAACAGTGAGAGACGGAATAACAACAAAAAAATCCAGAAAAACGCATGTCAAAAATTGTATACATTGATTTGCATTTTAATGAGGGAAATAAGTATTTGACCCCTCTGCAAAACATTACTTAGTACTTGGTGGCAAAACCCTTGTTGGCAATCACAGAGGTCAGATGTTTCTTGTAGTTGGCCACCAGGTTTGCACACATCTCAGGAGGATTTTGTTCCACTCCTCTATGCAGATCTTCTCCAAGTCATTAAGGTTTCGAGGCTGACGTTTGGCAACTCGAACCTTCAACACCCTCCACAGATTTTCTATGGGATTAAGGTCTGGAAACTGGCTAGGCCAATCCAGGACCATAATGTGTTATAAATTGATTTGCATTTTAATGAGGGAAATAAGTATTTGACCCCCTCTCAATCAGAAAGATTTCTGGCTCCCAGGTGTCTTTTATACAGGTAACGAGCTGAGATTAGGAGCACACTCTTAAAGGGAGTGCTCCTAATCTCAGTTTGTTACCTGTATAAAAGACACCTGTCCACAGAAGCAATCAATCAATCAGATTCCAAACTCTCCACCATGGCCAAGACCAAAGAGCTCTCCAAGGATGTCAGGGACAAGATTGTAGACCTACACAAGGCTGGAATGGGCTACAATACCATCGCCAAGCAGCTTGGTGAGAAGGTGACAACAGTTGGTGCGATTATTCTCAAATGGAAGAAACACAAAAGAACTGTCAATCTCCCTTGGCCTGGGGCTCCATGCAGGATCTCACCTTGTGGAGTTGCAATGATCATGAGAACGGTGAGGAATCAGCCCAGAACTACATGGGAGGATCTTGTCAATGATCTCAAGGCAGCTGGGACCATAGTCACCAAGAAAGCAATCGGTAACACACTACGCCGTGAAGGACTGAAATCCTGCAGCGCCCGCAAGGTCCCCCTGCTCAAGAAAGCACATATACAGGGCCGTCTGAAGTTTGCCAATGAACTTCTGAATGATTCAGAGGAGAACTGCGTGAAAGTGTTGTGGTCAGATGAGGCCAAAATCGAGCTCTTTGGCATCAACTCAACTCGCCGTGTTTGAAGGAGGAGGAATGCTGCCTATGAACCCCAAGAACACCATCCCCACCATCAAACATTATGCTTTGGGGGTGTTTTTCTGCTAAGGGGACAGGACAACTTCACCGCATCAAAGGGACGATGGACAGGGCCATGTACAGTCAAATCTTGGGTGAGAACCTCCTTCCCTCAGCCAGGGCACTGAAAATGGGTCGTGGATGGGTATTCCAGCATGACAATGACCCAAAACACACGGCCAAGGCACCAAAGGAGTGGCTCAAGAATAATAATAATAATATGCCATTTAGCAGACGCTTTTATCCAAAGCGACTTACAGTCATGTGTGCATACATTTTTGTGTATGGGTGGTCCCGGTGATCGAAACCACTACCTTGGCGTTACAAGCGCCGTGCTCTACCAGCTGAGCTACAGAGGACCACAAGAAGCACATTAAGGTCCTGGATTGGCCTAGCCAGTCTCCAGACCTTAATCCCATAGAAAATATGTGGAGGGTGATGAAGGTTCGAATTGCCAAACGTCAGCCTCGAAACCTTAATGACTTGGAGAAGATCTGCATAGAGGAGTGGAACAAAATCCCTCCTGAGATGTGTGCAAACCTGGTGGCCAACTGCAAGAAACGTCTGACCTCTGTGATTGCCAACAAGGGTTTTGCCACCAAGTACTAAGTAATGTTTTGCAGAGGGGTCAAATACTTATTTCCTTCATTAAAATGCAAATCAATGTATAACATTTTTGACATGCGTTTTTCTGGATTTTTTTGTTGTTATTCTGTCTCTCACTGTTCAAATAAACCTACCATTAAAATGATAGACTGATCATGTCTTTGTCAGTTGGCAAACGTACAAAATCAGCAGGGGATCAAATACTTTTTTCCCTCACTGTAGGTGTGTGGTGTGGTGTGTGTGTGGTGTGGCGTGTGTGTGGTGTGGTTCTCTCAGGAGCTGAGAGAACTGTCACTGTTCTCTGCTCATTAGTTACAGCTACAGAAATAGAAGCATCATCACACACACATCTGTCTGGTAAAACTTCCTTCTGCTGCTGCTCTCTTCTCTCTCTCTCTTTCTCGCTCTCTTTCTCGCTCTCTTTCTTTCTCGCTCTCTTTCCTCGCTGTCTATCATTCTGTCTCCCTCTCGCTCACACTGACATTCTTTATAACCTTCTTTGTACTGTCCTCCATCTTATCTATCATTCTATCCTCTTCTCTTCACACGTTGTAGCCAGAAGCACCACTCTAGAAATGCTGTTTAAATCATGTGTTGTCCTGGTAGTAGAAGAGGCGAACTTGCAATCTAGCTGAAGAGAGTGGCCTTTTGCTCTGCATGTAACATGCTGTCAAGGTGTATGAGTGTGCATGTAGAACACACCTCTCTTCTCTGATCCTATGTTTCCAACCCCCTCCCTCCATCCCCCTCCATCCCCTGTCCCCCCTGCATCGTTACCCAGCTGAGAGGGCCCGTGGCTGGGCTAGAGGACAGGCATGTGCAGCCTCTCTAGGTCCTAGCATGTAGAGGTGTTGTGTGTTTGTTTAATCTCAAAGCACATACAGTGGTTAAGCAAGCAAGATATCGCCACAGAAACACATGAAGCAAATACAGGGTCATCATAAGATACAGTCCATTAAATACAGTGTATTCAGACACTTTTACTTTTTCCACATTTTGTTACGTTACAGCCTTATTCTAAAATGGATTAAATACATATTTTTCCTCCTCAATTTACACACAATACCCCATAATGACAAAGCGAAAACAGGTTTATTTATTTTTTTGCACATAAAAAAGAAAAAGGTATTCAGACCCTTTGCTATGAGACTCGAAATTGAGCTCAGGTACATCATGTTACCATCGATCATCCTTGAGATGTTTCTACAACTTGATTGGAGTCCACCTGTGGTAAAGTCAATTGATTGGACATGATTTGGAAAGGCACACACCTGTCTACAGTGCCTTGCAAAAGTATTCATCCCCCTTGGCGCTTTTCCTATTTTGTTGCATTACAACCTGTAATTTAAATTGTTTTTTATTTGGATTTCATGTAATGGACATACACAAAATAGTCCAAATTGGTGAAGTGTATATATACACCTGTTCTGAAAGGCCCCCGAGTCTGCAACACCACTAAGCAAGGGGCACCACCAAGCAAGCGGCACCATGAAGACCAAGGAGCTCTCCAAACAGGTCAGGGACAAAGTTGAGGAGAAGTACAGATCAGGGTTGGGTTATAAAAAAATATCAGAAACTTTGAATATCCCACGGAGCACCATTAAATCCATTATTAAAAAATAGAAAGAATATTGCACCACAACAAACCTGCCAATAGAGGGCCGCCCACCAAAACTCACAGACCAGGCCAGGAGGGCATTAATCAGAGAGGCAACAAAGAGACCAAAGATAACCCTGAAGGAGCTGCAAAGCTCCACAGCGGAGATTGGAGTATCTGTCCATAGGACCACTTTAAGCCGTACACTCCACAGAGCTGGGCTTTACGGAAGCGTGGCCAGAAAAAAGCCATTGCTTAAAGAAAAAATAAGCAAACACTTTGGTGTTCGCCAAAAAGCATGTGGGAAGAAGGTACTCTGGTCAGATGAGACTAAAATTGAGCTTTTTAGCCATCAAAGCAAACGCTATGTCTGGCGCAAACCCAACCCCTCTCATCACCCCGAGAACACCATCCCCACAGTGAAGCATGGTGGTGGCAGCATCATGCTGTGGGGATGTTTTTCAGCGGCAGGGACTGGAGACTAGATGAACAGAGCAAAGTACAGAGAGATCCTTGATGAAAACCTGACAGGGGCGAAGGTTCACCTTCCAACAGGACAACAACTCTAAGCACACAGACAAGACAACGCGGGAGCGGCTTCGGGACAGGTCTCTGAATGTCCTTGAGTGGCCCAGCCAGAGCCTGGACATGAACCCGATCTAACATCTCTGGAGAGACCAGAAATAAACTGTGTAGCAACGATCCCCATCCAACCTGACAGAGATTGAGAGGATCTGCAGAGAAGAATGGGAGAAACTCCCCAAATACAGGTGTGCCAAGCTTTTATCATCATACCCAAGAAGACGAGGTTGTAATCACTGCCAAAGGTGCTTCAACAAAGTACTGAGTAAAGGGTCTGAATACTTATGTAATTGTGATATTTCAGCTTTTTATTTTTAATAACTCTGCTAAAATTTCTAAAAACCTGTTTTTGCTTTGTAATTATGGGGTATTGTGTCTATATTTATGAGGGGAAAAAACTATTTAATCCATTTTAGAATAAGGCTGTAACGTAACAAAATGTGGAAAAAGTCAAGGGGTCTGAACACTTTCCGAATGCACTGTATAATCCACATAATAATTAACTTGTCCTGTTGCTGCAGCTCAAATTATGGTCCTACATCTGTAGTTCATATAAAGATAATGTGAGTGAGAACGCGAGAGGGAGATATAGTATATACTATGTGAGTGTCCAAACATTCAAACAAACACACAGTATTCAGAACACTCTCTTCTCTGATCCTATGTTTCCAACCCCCTCCCTCAATCCCCCTTCATCCCCTGTCTCCCCTGCCTCGTTACCCAGCCAAGAGGGCCCGTGGCTGGGCTAGAGGACAGGCATGTGCAGCCTCTCTGGATCCTAGTCCTCCAGTGGAATTACACACTGACCCCTCTGCTGCCAGCAGTCAGCTTTGACTTACCCTGCCTGTCAACTAGGGTGTGGGTGTGTTTGGTGTTTGTGTGGGCTGCCCTAACCCTGCTCCAGCCTCTAACTACCACAGCCCTGCTCCAGCCTCTAACTACCACAGCCCTGCTCCAGCCTCTAACTACCACAGCCCTGCTCCAGACTCTAACTACCACAGCCCTACTCCAGACTCTAACTACCACAGCCCTGCTCCAGCCTCTAACTACCACAGCCCTGCTCCAGACTCTAACTACCACAGCCCTGCTCCAGACTCTAACTACCACAGCCCTGCTCCAGCCGTCCCTAATATAACTCAAAGCCCCAACCCACACTACACACTGCTATTATAAAGTATGGTAACCGTCCTCCTGCTACTTTCTATACTATTGCGCAACAGCTTCTTCATCACATTTATTCATGGTTGCACATTTTGCCACAATATTGTTTTGAACGTTTGTTTTAGGACTGATGCTCAACTGAGCATTCTACTCAATGCAGTCTCAATGGGTGCTGATGAAGATTTTGTCAAAGTGATTTACTGTGGCTTGGAAACACGATGACATTTCAAAAGGAGGCAAATAATTAGTAGGACAAGCTTTTGTCATCATTGTGATGTCTCCAGATTGACTTTAGATGCAGTATAACTTTAGCTAGAGGGGAGAACATTGCATTTTTAGCTAGCTAACGTTAGCATTGCTAGCTATTTCTGACAAACTTTGCTAGCTAATGGTACCATTGCCATCTCTCTAAAGTGAACCTGACGACATCAGAATGGTGGCAAAGTTGTTTTCTACAAGTTATTTGTTTACTTTAGCCATGTCATCTTATTTCCAGGCCACTATAGTGTTCATTTGACAAAACAGTCATTAGCCACCGTTCAGAAAGACTTGGCATTAACCATCAATCAGACATCAATATGCTTGGGCATCTGTAGAACGTTGATAACAATGGCAATGATGCGACCGAGTGAGGCAGGTGCAACCCATGAATACAACAATTTGTTGAACATGTTTGTTACAATATCCCTCCAATACCATGCCCTCTGCCCATTTCTTGTCTTGAATGCTTTTCCTGAACCATATTTGACACACAATCAAATCAAATCAAATGTTATTCGTCACATGTGTACAATACAACAGGTGTAGACCTTACCATGAAATGCTTACTTTTTTGGGGGGGGGTATTCACTCTCTCCGTCTTTCCCTCTCTCTGTCTCTTTCCCTCTCTCTCTTGCTCTCTCCTCCCTCTCTCTCTCTCTGCCTCACTCCCCTCCCTCTCCCTACCCCTCTCTCTCCTTCACCCCAGGTATAATCATCGTCCCCAGTGCTGGGGTGGGTATCGTCCTAGGGGGCTACATCATTAAGAAGCTGAAGTTGGGAGCCAGAGAGTCAGCCAAGCTGGCTATGATCTGTAGTGGGGTGTCTCTGCTCTGTTTCTCTACGCTCTTCATCGTGGGCTGTGAGAGCATCAACCTGGGAGGTATCAACATACCATACACGACTGGGTGAGTTAATACAATACTACTACTACTACAATACTACTAATATAATACTACAGCTACTACTATTACATCAACATAACATACACCACTGGGTAAGTTACTACAATACTATAATACTACTACTGCTACTACAATACTACTAATACAATACTACATATATTACTATTACATCAACATGCCATACACCACTGGGTAGGAGTTACTACAATACAACTACAGAGTTACTACAATACTACTACTATACTGCATATATTACTATTATATCAACATACCATAGATGCCCGGGTAAGTCATGGAGAAAAACTACAATACTACAAATATAATACTACAGATCTACATACCGTACACCACTGGGTAAGAGTTACTACTACTACAGTACTACTACTATACAACATATATTACTATAACATCAACACATACCATACACCACTGGGTAAGTTACTACAATCATACTACACCGTTACTACAATACTACTACACATATACTATTATATCAACATACCATACACCGCCTGGTAAGAGTTACCACATTACTACTACAATACTACTACAGATATTACTATTACATCAATATACCATACACCACAGAGTAAGATACAGTATATCAGAGTAGTAATATTGTAGTATAACTATTACATCTAGTTACATCCCATACAGCACTGGGTAATAGTTTCTACAATACTACTACCATACTACTACAATACAGATATTACTGTTACATCAATATACCATACACCACAGGGTAAGAGTTACTACAATACTATTACACAGATGTTACTATTACATTAACTGGATAAGTATCACTGATTTCACTGTGACTATTACTACAGTGAAATCCACAAGGTAAGAGTTGTTACTATACTCATCATCATTATTGGCGGTCACTCGGGGTCGAGTATGATTGTCCTCCTGTTGGGTCCTGCTTGTGGGTCTTCAGATGGCTGATTTTGGTGCAGTGTGGGCAGGGGTGAGTGGTGGTGGTGGATGGTGGTTGGACCTTCTTGATGGAAAGTCTCTCCTTTCGAAGTTGCCGCTTGTCCTCTGCGGCATTGCAGAGATCTTCTTTGTACCGTGCTACTCCATCTTGGACAGTTTTTCTCCATGTCGACCTGTCTTTTGTAGTGTCCTCCCAGCTGGAGATGTTTATGCTGCACTTTTTGAGATGAGTCTTTAGCTTGTCCTTGTACCGCTTCTTTTGTCCTCCAGGAGCCCACTGTCCTGAGTTTTTCTTGTGAATACAGGACCTGTTTCAGGAGGCATGAGTTGGGCAACCTGACACAATGTCCATCAGAGCTGTTGTTGTGTGGTGGTGGTGCTGCTGATGTTTGCCTCCTCAAGCACACTGGTGTTGATGCGCTTGTCTTCCCAGATAATCCTCATGATGTTGCGGAGGCATCTTTGGTGGTGTGACTCCAGGGCTTTAAGATGCCTGCTGAATGTGGTCCATGTTAATGACCCATACAGTAGGATAGGGAGCAATACTGCTTTGTAGACCAGGATTCTGGTTCTGGCCTGGATGTCACGCTGTGGTTGGTGGAGGATTTTGGTCTTTTTTATGTTAAGGGCCAGACCGAGAAACTTGTCTGCCTTTGAGGAGCTCCACAATGGAAGTGTTGGTGATTTTGCTCTTGGCCTTGAATCTGTTCAGGTTGAAGAGTTTGCTGTCTGTTCTGTGCAGGATTTGGACTCCCTGAGGCAGATTTGAGCCTGTGAGGTGGAGGATGGCAGCGATGAAGATAGAAAACAGGGTGGTTGCAATGATGCAGCCCTGTTTAACTCCAGTGTCCACCTTGAAGGGTTCCGTTTCAGAGCCACTGTTACTGAGCACTAAAGCTGACATGTTGTCAAGCATCAGTCGCAGTATTCTATTACTACTATGTTATTGGCTATAACACTTATACATGATTACTACTATGAGTCCTTACATCACTGAAAACTATGCTATTCTTAAATGGTTTACATTTACATTACAATTAGTATACAAACGCTCTTTAACCATCAGCAGACCTACCAAGAGCATTAGGTTAAGTGCTTTTCTGGGCACTAGGTTCATTAGCAACCTCACACAACACACAACATCATCACACATAGCTATGGATAACCCTTTTACATTGGGCGGGGGTGGGGTCACAAAGGTACTTACAATATCCCAGGTAATCCCTAAAGAAACATGGGCGTCAAATATCCTGCGTGAACGTGGTAGATCATCCCCCATCACCTTGGTGTGAGAGTTTGTTTCAATTGGGTCCCCAGCAAGTTTGATGGTAGGTAGTTGCTCCGCAGCAGGGCACCACCGCGCCAGTGGATGGCATGTGTTGTGTGGACGCACAGACACAAAAATACACACCGTCCCCCACATGCTCCAAGGCAGCACACTTGAGCAGCGAGCTCAATGGAACTCAGAGCAGAGTGGTACGTAGACTTGGAATGAACACCAGACCGGCCGCATCGGATGAGTGAGGTTTGCCACTGTGAGCGAATACAGTATACAACACACGCGTTCTATTCTAACCATCATCAACACCTACTCAACAGCCGTTAGTTCTATTGGCATGTTGTTGGTGTGACTGGTTCACTAGCAACCTCACACACACACACAAACAATCAATCAAATGTATTTATAAAGCCCTTTTTACATCAGCAGATGTCACAAAGTGCTATACAGAAACCCAGCCGAAAACCCCAAACAGCAAGCAATGCAGAAGCACGCAACACTATCATCTGCTGTGGAACACATAGAATTCATCCCCACATCACCTTATTTACGTTCTGTTTTATATAGTCCCCATCAAGTTTAGAGTTAGTGTAATTATCACTCCTCATGCTTAGTCCCCATCCTGCGTCACTGGATGGCATGGAAGTCTGTGGACGCACACACACACACACACACACACACACACACACACACACACACACACACAAGGCATGCACACTTAAGCACACGCACACGCTAACAAACTAACACACACGTGTACGTACACGCTCACACACCCAAGCACCCACGCACGCACGGACGGACAAACAGACACACACACCGCTAACATGTATAGCATATGTGATCCAAAGCAACAGCTGTACAGTATACCAGTGGGTGCGTCCTAAATGGCACACTATTCCCTTTATAGTGCACTATGCTATAGTGGACTACTGGGACTTGGTCAAAAGTAGTTCACTATGTAGGGAATAGGATGCCATTTGGGATGCAGCCAGTATATAATGTGTCTCTCTCCCACTCTACAGTATCCCACATACCCTCTTCTATTTTCTACCTCTGCACTGTCCTGTCTGACCTGACCAGTGTCCCAGACAGACTGCTCTGAGCATTCCTTTGTCTCAGTGAGTCAGCACTGTCCTGTCTGACCTGACCAGTGTCCCAGACAGACTGTTCTGAGCATTCCTTTGTCTCAGAGAGTCAGTGTATAGAGCAGTTAACAGGAAGCTGTAAGCTGATGATGAAGAGGACTGGGTCTACTGACAATAGCATGAGGAATGTCAACAGTGACACAACTACTGATTCATACTAACACACGCTCTGGCCGCGTCCGAAATAGTACCCTATACCCTATATAGGGCATTGCTATTGACCAGATCCTGGGTAAAAAATTGTGCACTATACGGGCTCTGGTCAAAAGTCGTTCACTATATAGGGAATAGGCTTCCACTTGGGAAGCAGACTATGTGTCTGACCCTAGTTCACCTTTGACCTCTATCGCCCAAGACTAACATTATACCAACAGTAGGGAAACATAACTACAGTACCAGGAAATTCATTCACTGCCCCCTCTCCTGCTATAATAGATTAATCTATTTCCTGTTGGCTGACTGTTTGGCTTTTTATTTTATGTTTCTGTAACATCTGGTGGCTCCATCTGGTGCAGCCAGCCAGTCACAGTGGCTTTGTCTCGAGTGGAGATGTGTAATCACCATAGTGCGACTGGGTCGCCAAGCAGGGGCAGACTGACTCCATTCTGTGCCCCCACTCCCTGCCTGTAGGCCTAGTGCTGGAATGTGACGGGGGTTTGTTATGTCAGGGTCAAACCCAACAACCCAACTCAAAACTGAACAGTTATCTCAATCTGACATGACGTGAACTGACCTAACCGGACAGATTGACCGATAGATAACTAGATGTAATGACTCTGCTCCAGGTCGTTATTGGAAAAGAGAATGTGTTCTCAATGACTAAATAAAGCCAAAAAAATGTGACTGCTTACATAATTTGGATGGAATTGCCATAATATGGTCTAGTAGTGCATAATGCCGTAATTATATAAATGGGGGGAATATCATGCTATTTGTATGTTTTGAATGTAAAAGTAGATTCCTGACTGTGTGCTTTCACAAGGTGGTGTTTGTAGCCTGTCTACGGTTTCAACATTTCCCAGGTTTTCCAGTGATCCCAGTTGGAAGATTCCCAGAATCAGGAGGAAATAAGCAGGAAATTCGTGAAAGTTGTCAGAATATTAGGGTGTTGTGTTTTAGCCTGTCCCTCGTTCCGATAGAGCTCAGTGTTGGAACTCCCAGAGTCAACTGGAGACGGGCTTCACTGCCCGACTGTGTTTAGAGGGATCAGATCATTGTTTGAGTTAGAACCTGGTTCCCACAGAACTACTGCGAATGTTTATTCAGTCTCTCTTTCTATATCTCTTTCTCTATCTCTCGCTCTGTCTCTCTCGATCTCGCTCTCTATATATACACTGAGTGTACAAAACATTAAGAATACCTTCCTAATATGGAGTTGAACCCCCTCCCCCTTTTTGCCCTCAGAACAGCATCAATTCGTCGGGGCATGGACTCTACAAGGTGTCGAAAGCATTCCACAGGGATGCTGGCCCATGTTGACTCCAGTGCTTCCTACAGTTGTAGTTCTTGACACAAACCGGTGCGCCTGGTACCTACTACCATACCCCGTTCAAATATTTTGTCTTGCCCATTCACCCTCTGAATGGCACACATACACAATCCATGTCTCAATTGTCTAAAGGCTTAAACATCCTTCTTTAACCTGTCTCCTCCCCTTCATCTACACTGATTGAAGTGGATTTAACAAGTGACATCAATAAGGGATCATAACTTTCACCTGGATTCACCTGGTCAGTCTATGTCATGGAAAGAGCAGATGTTCTTAATGTTTTGTACACTCAGTGTATATATATATATATATATATATATATCTCTTTCTCTCTTTCTTTTTATCTATCTTACTATTTATTTTTTGTTCTTAAAATACTGGTGTGCAACATATCATTTCTCCAATAAAATTAAATTGAAAACTCAACTCTCTCTCTCTCTCGCTCTCTCGCTCTCTCGCTCTCTCTGCAGGCCCACCCTGACTATGACCCACCATAACCTGACTGGAGGCTGTAATGTGAACTGTGGCTGTAAGATCCATGAGTACGCCCCGGTGTGTGGCTCTGACGGCATCACCTACTTTAACCCCTGCTTGGCTGGGTGCAGCACGGTGAGCAACGGCAGCACTGGGGTGAGTACACACTAGACTGACCAGGCGACACGTGTGTGTGAGTGTGTGCATGTGATGAGTAGGCTTGTCAGAGACCTGAAGAATTGTGTTAGCTCCCCGAGTTCAAGGCTTTGTGTCCTTGATCCTGAAAGATTGTAGAGAGACACAACTCAACTCACATTGTTAGCGCCAGCACACAATCACAGGCCCCTTTTATAACTGAATGACACTAAATTATGTCATTTGGGCAGTTGTTTTGAGTTAAGTGGTCTGTAGTGTTCCAGCTGTAGGGCTGGGCGATGTATCAAATTAATTTGATTAATTAGAATTCGTTTTTGCACAATATTCCAAATGCCTGTATAGCAATAATCACGTTTTTGTTTGTTTCTATTAGCATTTCAGTCCGCTTGTTGTCTTTTTGGTCTCGTCTCCTTCGCTCCTTCTGTGCTGTGTGCACCTTCCTGTTTACACACACCAAGCCCCTCCCTCTGCCACTCACAACAACAAAGTTGAGCGATCACTTCTTCCTCTCTGATAAGCGGTTTCAACTCGCTATTTGCATTTGAGGTTTGGTCCAACAGAATCGGTCATATGGACACTGAAACACATTGAGTCATTATTTAACTGTAATAGAGGAGAAGTTAACCTTTCTAACAATATGCTTTTTAGGCCAACTCCTCAAATTCCGCGCAGAGCAGACACTACTAAAACGGGAGTATCAATGAACATTGATTCTGGAAAATGAATGCTCAGTTTGTCGCGCTCGGCATTGCGGTACCATGTACCGCTAGTATTTTAGCCAAAGACTGTTTATGCTAGCTGTCTAGTCTGTGTTTTATACATGTGCAATAAGCATAAAATACAATTAAATAAGGAATTGGCAACTCATTCTCATTCTGAGTAAAGTTAGGCCGCTTGATTTCAACATCTGAGCAAAGTGGACAGGCTAGCGTGCTGTTCAAACAGTTGGAGACAGATAGAACGTTGTGTTCATAACAATTCAACTGTTTTATCTTGTTAGCTAGCAAATAGATCCAAGTTGGCTGAACTTGAAATATAAAGATTAGCTGGTTACTCCTTAACAGGTGGGCATGTGCTTGAGAGAGCTGTGTTGATGTTCTATAATGCCTGCTACATGAATGTAGTCATTATTTGTTAATGTGCATTTTTCATGGTTCTTGCTAAAAGTTTTTTACAAAAAGGGCATTTTCATCGATTTGAAAGCCAGATCAATGATTATTGCAAAAAAAGCAAGTTAAACTATTTGTATAAAATAATAAAGTTTATATGTTCTTATGGTTGTTAAAGTCGTATAATTAGCCGAGGTATAATTTCACAAGCCCTGAATTTATTAGAGTTATGCTGATTGTCTGAAATGCAGTGATTTGACCTTTAATAGTACAACAACGCTTATTTAGAGAAATCGCAGTATATACTCAGTGGCAAGTTTATTAGGTACATCTAAATCCCCTCCAAAACAGCCTGAATTCTTTGAGGGATGGATTTTACAAGGTGTGGTATTCAAACGTTGCAGAATTGCTATCAACAGACCTAATGTGTGCCAGAAAAAAATCCCCACACCACTACACCACCAGCCTGTACCGTTGACAACAGGCAGGATGGGGCCATGGACTCATGTTTCTTACGCCAAATCCTGACGCTGCCATCAGCATGACGCAACCGGAACCAGGATTCGTTGGACCAGGCAATGTTTTTTCCACTCCTCAATTGTCCAGTGTTGGTGATCGCGTGCCCACTGGAGCTGCTTCTTCTTGTTTTTAGCTGATAAGAGTGGAACCCAGTGTGGCCGTCTGCTGCAATAGCACATCTGTGACAAGGACCGACAAATTGTGCGTTCTGAGATGTCGTTCTGAACACCACTGATGTACTGTGCCGTTATTTGCCTGTTTGTGGCCCGCCTGTTAGCGTGCACGATTCTTGCCATTCTCCTTCGACCTTTCTCATCAACGAGCTGTTTTCGACAACAGGACTGCCGCTGACTGGATGTTTTTTTGTTTGTCACACCATTCTCGGTAAACCCTAGACACTGTTGTACGTGAAAAGCCCAGGAGGCCGGACATTTCTGAGATCCTGAAACCGGCATGCCTGGTCCCGACGATTATACCACGCTCAAAGTCGCTTAGGTCACTCGTTTTGCCCATTCAATCGAACAGTAACTGCATGCCTCGATGCCTGTCTGCCTGCTTTATATAGCCACAGGCACCTGACTCACTGTCTGTAGGAGTGACCATTTTTGCGAACGTGGTGGTGTACCTAATAAACATGTCACTGAATGTATATTGTGAATCGCCCATAAGTTTGACAAAATCTAGATATGATTTTTAGGCCATATCGCCCAACCCTAGCTAGCTGCACAGCCGTACTGAACATTATTCAGGATTCAAAATATACCTTATTCCCAATATCCCTGGTTGCCAAAAGAAACAAAAACATAAAATGAGTCTATACAGTATTCAGTAAAATATTGATAGTACTTTTAAGCTCTGTGAGAGTTGATTTGGGATTAAACCAAAGAAGATTATCTAGTATGTTATGCTAGCCCATTGTAAGCCATTTAGCCGCAGCCTACAATAACATTGAGTCCTCTACCCCCTCTCCCCTTCTCTGAGAGATCAACCCTGGGCAGGAAGACCCCTCCTAAAAACAATATCAGACAGGATATCACAGCAAAGCTAGAAAGGGAAATGCCTAAGGTGAGTTATAAATGGCACCCTATTCCCTATATAGTGCATTACTTTTTACCAGGGCTCATTGGGCACACAGATTCTTTAGGCAGAACACTGGCCTTAGAGAGAATGTGTGTTTGGCTGAGCACACAATATACCCACAGTGCAGAAGTCTCACCACATAGCTACAATACAGTATAACATCCCAAGGTGCCTTTGATGCAGCCTAGGGAGCAGGGAAGGGTTTGATTACCAGTGAGAGTTGAATGTTTCTGCTGCATTAGAGGCTTTAGGAGATGGAATACAATGTCCCACTGGCAAGTTTGCGAGAAAGAGTGTGTGTGTGCAAGTTAGCTTTGTCCTTTCCTTCAAACCACATACAGTGGGGGAAAAAAGTATTTAGTCAGCCACCAATTGTGCAAGTTCTCCCACTTAAAAAGATGAGAGAGGCCTGTAATTTTCATCATAGGTACACGTCAACTATGACAGAGAAATTGAGGGGAAAAAATCCAGAAAATCACATTGTAGAATTTGTAATGAATTTATTTGCAAATTATGGTGGAAAATAAGTATTTGGTCACCTACAAACAAGCAAGATTTCTGGCTCTCACAGACTTGTAACTTCTTCTTTAAGAGGCTCCTCTGTCCTCCACTCGTTACCTGTATTAATGGCACCTGTTTGAACTTGTTATCAGTATAAAAGACACCTGTCCACAACCTCAAACAGTCACACTCCAAACTCCACTATGGCCAAGACCAAAGAGCTGTCAAAGGACACCAGAAACAAAATTGTAGACCTGCACCAGGCTGGGAAGACTGAATCTGCAATAGGTAAGCAGCTTGGTTTGAAGAAATCAACTGTGGGAGCAATTATTAGGAAATGGAAGACATACAAGACCACTGATAATCTCCCTCGATCTGGGGCTCCATGCAAGATCTCACCCCGTGGGGTCAAAATGATCACAAGAACGGTGAGCAAAAATCCCAGAACCACACGGGGAGACCTAGTGAATGACCTGCAGAGAGCTGGAACCAAAGTAACAAAGCCTACCATCAGTAACACACTACGCCGCCAGGGACTCAAATCCTGCAGTGCCAGATGTGTCCACCTGCTTAAGCCAGTACATGTCCAGGCCCGTCTGAAGTTTGCTAGAGTGCATTTGGATGATCCAGAAGAGGATTGGGAGAATGTCATATGGTCAGATGAAACCAAAATTAAAAACTCAACTCGTCGTGTTTGGAGGACAAAGAATGCTGAGTTGCATCCAAAGAACACCATACCTACTGTGAAGCATGGGGGTGGAAACATCATGCTTTGGGGCTGTTTTCTGCAAAGGGACCAGGACGACTGATCCGTGTAAAGGAAAGAATGAATGGGGCCATGTATCGTGAGATTTTGAGTGAAAACCTCCTTCCATCAGCAAGGGCATTGAAGATGAAACGTGGCTGGGTCTTTCAGCATGACAACAATCCCAAACACACAGCCCGGGCAACGAAGGAGTGGCTTCGTAAGAAGCATTTCAAGGTCCTGGAGTGGCCTAGCCAGTTTCCAGATCTCAACCCCATAGAAAATCTTTGGAGGGAGTTGAAAGTCCGTGTTGCCCAACGACAGCCCCAAAACATCACTGCTCTAGAGGAGATCTGCATGGAGGAATGGGCCAAAATACCAGCAACAGTGTGTGAAAACCTTGTGAAGACTTACAGAAAACGTTTGACCTGTGTCATTGCCAACAAAGGGTATATAACAAAGTATTGAGAAACTTTTGTTATTGACCAAATACTTATTTTCCACCATAATTTGCAAATAAATTCATAAAAAATCCTACAATGTGATTTTCTGGATTTCTTTTTCTCATTTTGTCTGTCATAGTTGACGTGTACCTATGATGAAAATTACAGGCCTCTCATCTTTTTAAGTGGGAGAACTTGCACAATTGGTGGCTGACTAAATACTTTTTTCCCCCACTGTAAACTGTGTATGTGTGTTTACATGAAAGAGTGTGTTTGTGTACATATAATTAGGGGGTGCTTATACAGTCCTGGGTAACCACTTCTACATGTGAAATGGAAATATATTTTTTGCATATCCCACTCCCCCTGAGAGTGGGGTCACAGCCAGGGATCAACCATTATTGACAGCGACCCTGGAACAATTAGGGTTAATTGCCTTGCTCAAGGGCAGAATGGCTGATTAATTTGACCTTGTCGGCTCTGGGATTCGACCCAGCAACCTTTAAATTACTATCCCAACGCTCCTAACCGCCAGGCTACCTGTCGCCCCTTATACAGTATTAACCGTGTATTAACCATGTACACCGTCCATCTCTTTCGCAGATAAGGAACTACACAGTGTGTGTGTGTGTGTGTGTGTGTCATTATTGTGAAATTTTGGAGTCACTTTTATTGTAAATAAGAATATAATGTTTCTCAACACTTCTACATTACGGATTATCATGAATGAATCGTGAATAATGATTAGCGAGAAAGTTACAAATGCACAAAGATCATACCCCCAAAACATGCTAACCTCTCACCATTATCAATAACAGGGAAGGTTGGCATTTTTGGGGGGGTGTATTCTATTCTTAGTTACAATAAAAGGCAACTCCAACATGACACAATACATTATTTACCATTCATTTATATTGGGCCCACATAATCCAAAACACAACCAAAACAAACAGCAAATGCATCCAACAAGTTTGTAGAGTCACAAGTTTGATGTAGTCATTAGTTATGTTTCCATTAACTTGTCCAGTGATTTTTTATCGACACATAGAAAATAAATGTGACAATTGCCTGCTACGGTGCATTTCCGATTAATTGTCTTGTGTCGATAAAAACAGCTGGACATAATAACATCACACCTAGAATGTCGAATAGAAATGAAGTGATTAAACTGTTTCCATGATCTATTTAGGCAAATTGTGCATTAATAAAGTTGTGACAGCCTATATGCCCTGCCCACCTATCTGTTTAATTTCTCAGGTAGCCCGCAAAAGTCGGCATGGATACAATGCAAAAATGTAATATTTGCCATATTCAAACAATTCTCATATGCCTAATCATCGCTATGGTCCGTGCCATGGTGTAACTTGCACTAATGCAGGTCTAGTAAAGAACTGAAACAATTTGGTGAAATTTCAAATTGCAATCTAAAGCAATTCAATTCATTCCTGCAGGCATTCTTGAAAGTCAAGACAATCCTTGTCTTGCAAAGAAACAATTTTTATAGTTGATTAGGCTACATGGATTTTGCAAGCAGTAGGCATTTAAATGAAATGTGGAGTGGAGCTTTATAGTTACGCGATAACATAATGTGCCCTGTGTACCTTCAAAATGATTCTGCAATATAATTTATTCAAAATACACAGGTTCCATAATTTGTTGCAATGAAGAAATTTTGACAAAAGAAAAATCCAGCCGTCGAACAGATAAAAATGTATTCAATCTTTAGAAAATGTCTTCTACATCTGCCGTTTCATTTACATTTACATTTTAGTCATTTAGCAGACGCTCTTATCCAGAGTGACTTACAGTTAGTGAATACATATATCTATATTTTTTAAAATAATTTTTTTATACTTTACAAATGTCACAATGATTGTTATTGCGACATTGCTTTTGTCTAATAAACCTGGGTCAGTGGAAATCTGCCCAGGAATATGAGACCAAATACAAAACGTTTGACTAAATGTAATACACTATAAGTGAATTTGTCCAAATACTTATAACATCTTGAAATGGGGGGACTAGATACGTAAAGTGCTTTCAATTCTAAACGGTAAAATGGGTATGTCCGAAATAATAAATAAAATGACATTCTGTACTGTCGCCTCATATGAAACATTTGATCTCATATCCAAAAATGGAGTATAGAGCCAAATTAAAACATTTAGCTTCACTGTCCAGTGTATATGTATTAACCATGTCCATCTCCTCCACCAACAGATCAGGAACTACACCGAGTGTGCATGTGTCCAGAGCCGACAGGTCATCACCCCTCCCTCTGGTGGTCAAGGCAACCAACTGCAGCTGGTCATCGTTAAGACCTACCTGAACGAGAACGGCTTCGCGGTGTCAGGGAAGTGTGACCGCACCTGTAACACCCTCATCCCCTTCCTCATCTTCCTCTTCATCGTCACACTCATCACCGCCTGCGCTCAGCCCTCCGCAATCATAGTCACGCTCAGGTAGGAGGACTGTGGCCAAATTGTTTAACATTTTAACTCAAACTCTCTAACTCTTTGAAATGCATATTAATGCTTTATGAATGCTTTCTGAATGCTACGTATCACCACTATGTAAAGTGTTACTTAGCTTGAACCCTTTCCTTCATGAACACTGATCTAACTCCTAACTCCTCATGAAGGAAGAAGTGTGACATGGGAATTAAATTCTGGTGTTGATTGTGTGAAAAGTGCAGAATTATGTGCAGTTGGCATTAATGCGTTGAGATCAAGTTTTTATCTATCAAATGGCAGATTGCAAACACTCTCTGAAATTCTTGATATTAACAGATTAAAAGAACCCAGCTCCAGTTTAAACGAGATTGCAAAATGTTAGATTTACGGGGCTTTGACTCCAATGCTTCCCATAGTTGTGTCAAGTTGGCTGGATGTCCTTTGGGTGGTGGACCATTCTTGATACACACAGGAAACTGTTGAGCGTGAAAAACCCAGCTGTGTTGCAGTTCTTGACACAAACCGGTGCGCCAGGCATCTACTACCATACCCGGTTCAAAGGCACTTAAATCTTTTGTCTTGCCCATTCACCCTCTGAATGGCAGACATACACAATCCATGTCTCAATTGTCTCAAGGCATAACAATCCCTTCTTTAACCTGTCTCCTCTCTTTCATCTACACTGATTGAAGTGGATTTAACAGGTGACATCAATAAGGGATCATAGCTTTCACCTGGATTCATATGGTCAGTCTATGTCATGGAAAGAGTAGGTGTTCTTAATGTTTTGTATACTCAGTGTATATGTTAGTGTTTTCCGTTTTATAAGGAAATGTATGCACTTTATATGTTAGTGTGTTCCTCTGTAAGCCAATCTCATTCTCCGTCCATCTGTCTCTGTCCATCACTCCTCAGGTCTGTGGATGAACAGGAGAGACCCTTCGCTCTGGGTATGCAGTTTGTCCTGCTAAGAACTCTGGGTACGTTTCTGCATAGAGATCCTATCATTCATATTATGTGATTCTATATGTAGTTCTATGAGTTACTGGGCATTTCTACAAACGTAGTGAGCTTGTAGTGTTCCCACATCAGTCAACCAACCAGTGGAGGCTGGTGAGGGGAGGACGGCTCATAGTAATTTTGGTCGGGAATGGAATTAATGGTATGGTATCAAACACATGAAAAACAAGTGTTTGATATTCCATACCTTAGATTGAAAATTCCACCAGCCACCACTGAAGTCAAGTATTTGAAAAGGTATTTCATGACTGGTCTGAAACAGCCTGTAGGCTTTTAGGGTAATGCTAGAACATGCTAGAACATGCTTCTGACCAAGATTATTATAGTTGTGTTTTTATATTTGTTTTTTTTTTCTTTTCGTTTAGATTTTTATTTGAAATTCAGTTTAGTTTCAGTTAGTTTTCAGACCTGAGTTACACATTTTTATTTAGTTTGAGTTTTATAAAAACATTTCTATTTCGTTGTTATATTATTTAGTTTTAGGGACAGAAAGTAGCGGATTTCTTCAATGTTAGCTAGTGATAGGTAGTGATAGTGATGCACAAGCTAGGCCTATTTGAAACATCTGAATCTGGCAGGTAAATGCTGCCAGGAGATGGCGAAGCTTGAAAACCCCATAAGTTTTTCCCCAAAGTAAAAAAAATAAAAATAAAAAACTTAACATAATTCATGATGGTTTTTAATTTTATTCGTTTTGGAGTCAAAGATAATAGTTTCAGTATAGTTTTAGTTTTTCAAACGGGTTTATTAATGATTTTATTTCAGTTTACGAAAGTGTTTTCATGATTAGTTTTCATTTTAGTTTCAGTTTTCTTTTACTATAATAACCTTGCTTCTCACCTTCTCACTGCTGGTATGTGAACAGAACTCTCATACTCTCATTTGTAGCTTAATGTACAGTACAGTATAAATCACGTATAATACTGTCAGAATAAGTACCACCTGAATGGAAGATTTAAACCAGCGACTGCATTAAATCCAGGTGTTTAATCCAGGGTTGGTTTGTGTGAACTTCAGACTGCTTAGCTGGCATATTTGGCCCATGAACTATGCCTCCGCGATGAAGTTACCCCTAGGTACAGATCTAGGATCAGCTTCCCGCCGCCAATCCTAACATTAACCATTAGTGGGGGAAATGCTACATTTAGTGGTTACAACTAGTGGTTATTCCCAAACTGGTTTTGCACTGTAAGACCCAGCTAAAGACTTCTTCTAAACATTCAAAACAAATGTATCTGGCTGCAGTCTAGCACTTAGAAGCACACAAACCTTAAAGTGTCAAACACTAGTTTAGGCAGCACAGCTGAATGGCAGATGGCATTGTCTCTCACTCTATTCTTTCCCCAGCGGTGTACATACTTCAACACCACCTGTATGCTGTGTTATAACTGTTCCTCTCCTCTCTCTTCCTCCAGCCTATATCCCTACTCCCATCTATTTCGGGGCGGTGATCGACACCACCTGTATGCTGTGGCAGCAGGACTGTGGCGTCCACGGCTCCTGCTGGGAGTACGACGTCACTTCCTTCCGCTTCGTCTACTTCGGCCTGGCCGCCAGCCTCAAGTTCATTGGCTTTGTCTTCATCTTCCTCACCTGGTACTCCATCAAGTACAAGGAGGAGCAGGCGGAGCGCTGGCACCAGCGACTACCCCCGTTGGGCACTGTCTCTGACCTCATCTGCCACGTGGGGGGCCAGAAGAGCCACGCCCGAACCCGCTCCTGCCCGGTGTTCATCCCGCCTTGCGACCACCCTCCCGTGGCACTCCTTCTCAACCGGGGTCACAGCAGCCTCAGTTGCCCCGGCAACACTCTTAAACCAATAAACCCACCCCCTCCCTCTCTGCTGATGCCGTACACAGAGGCTCCGCCCACATCTGAGAGCAGGAAGTAAACAGGCCACACCTGTTCCTCTTTAGGCCACGCCTCTATCTGTTCCTCCCCAGGGGTTGTGATACATGCCTTCCTGTTCCTGTCTCCACCTCGTTTCTAAAATATACACCAATCAGGCGGTGGGGGCGGTGACTTCCATGGCTCTGATTGACAGGCAGAGAGACCAATAGACTGACAGTGACAGACAGAGGCCGTTTGCAGTATTAAAGGGCTGGCCACAGTTATATGGGCGTGTCACAAGGGAACAGCTCGACTCCCTATTGGCCTACAGAGCTGTCTGTCTCTGGTGTGCATATCATTAGCTGCAGAGTGGCGGCTGGTGGGAGGAGCTATAGGACAGGTTCATTGTAATGGCTGAAATGGAATACATGGAATGGAGTCAAACATGTGGTTTCCATTTGATACCATTCCATTGATTCCATTCCAGCCATTACAATGAGCCCGTCCTCCTATAGCTCCTCCCACCAGCAACACAGCATGTACAGAAGTTTTTAATACACAACAGTGTTTGGGGTCAATTCGAATTGAAGGCAGTCAATTCAGGAAGCAAACTGAATCAATAATCAATTACTTCTCAAACTGAAAAGAAGCTATTTATGTAAAGTTTTTCAATTTTGGGATTTTAAATTCAAATAACTTCTTGAATTGACCCCAACCCTGATACACAAACATTTTGATTTATGAAATGTATCAACATGATCACGTGGTGCTACTTACTGTACTGTAACGGGGGCGGGGCATTAGTATATTCTAATATGATATTATTCTTCTCAGAAGTGACTTGTGGGTACTACATTACCCATGATGCCGCATCACAGCTGCAGCGTTTCTCTCAAGCACAACATACTAACTGACAAACCGGTTATATTCTATGCAAGGTCCTGTGTACTCCCATACAGACAGACATACACCTCTCAGTACTGTATTGACTTACTGTAGCCCATGTTTACCCCGCTCTGTGCTTGCGTCTCAAATAGCACCCTATTCCCTATATAGTGCACTACTTTTGACCAGGGTCCATAGGTCTCTGGTCAAATGTAGTGCTCTATATAGGGAATAGGCTGCCTTCTGGGACGCAGCCTTTTACCCATTCAATCACATTATACCACAGCTGTTACTGAGCATATCCAGCTAATATTGAATGTGGTTAGCAGCAACATTAAACAGTACCATTTAGGAGGAGATTATATCGATTTAAAACTCAGTCATACATGAGGCATTTGTCCAGTTCTGTCTGTCCTTGTGACCGTCTGTTTAAACTCTTGGTTCAGAGCAGAGAATGGACCACCCGTTTATTTGACCCTTCAGCCCCCTTTGAAACAGCAACTCAGGCTGTGTGGGCCTATCATTGGTTGCTGGCTAGCTGACTAATGCTAATAGCTACGAGGCTAACCTGTTAGCTAGCCAGCTTATATCCAATGGCCAGTTACTGGCTAATGCTAATAGCTACCAGGCTAACCAGTTAGCTAGTCTTTATCAAAAGGCCAGATACTGGCTAATGCTAATAGCTACCAGGCTAACCGGCTAGCTAGCCTATATCAAAGATCATGGATATACTGACAAGATACATGTCTCTCCACCCTAACAACCGGAGTCGTTGTCCACAAAGCGGCACGGCAGGCTGTCCAGCTCCCGCCTATCCTTTCTTTGGATTTGCGGATACATCTCATTATTGTAATCCTGAATATACAGGTCCAGCATCTGGTGACCCCCCAGGCCCCAGGTGGTCTTGACGTTCTCCATGGCCAGGATGAAGAGGATGGGGTTGTTGACGTGAACCGCCTGTATTCAATGGACAGAGATGCTATGCTACTAGCCTCATACCATGAAATGCATAGCCATCTTGAGACAACTCCTCATATGAAGTGTTTTTTCTCAAAGTTGCCGGGATGTCACGTGTCCTAGTTATATCAGTATACTCGTAACAACTTAAGCATTACAAAACTTTCATTAGATCAAATAAACCTCATGTAGCAAATAAGCCATAAAAAAAAAATGTATTGACCAAATTTGACACTCTTATTGACCTCCATACAAAAACTCTGTGCTTGGTTGGTGAAACAATGAAAAAACGCCACCTGCTGGAGGGAGACAGATTTTCCGCCGAGTTGGGCCTCTCTTCCTTTTGCCTATATCCAAAGACAAGTTACTAATGAACTGTCCACCAAGTTAGGTGTGGTGGTCTGCACCATAGGTAGTTTGTGTGGAGTTAGTCTTCATTAGAACTTTAACTCTTTGCTCCATGGCAATGGGGAACACACACACAGTTTTGTATTTATAACATAAAATTAGGTAGTCTTTGCTGGAAGGGAAAACTCAGTCATAATCCTCATCTAAAATAATATGACCTAAGAGAAAACTAAAAGCTGTAATTTTAACATAAACCACCAATTTCTACAAATTTTTTTTTTTTTTTTTTTTTTTTTACTTGTTTGAAAAAGTACTGTATCCATTGTATCATTTGTGAGCAATACTGTACTTTTGAATTTAATTGCCCTTTTTATGTTAAAGGGATAGTTCGGGATTTTGGCAATGAGGCCCTTTATCTACTTCTCCAGTCAGATGAACTCATGGATACCATTTTGATGAAGGAAGTTAGAGGTAGTTTGGCGAGCCAATGCTAACTAGCGTTAGACTGGAAGTCTATGGGTATCTACTAGCATGAACCCAGCTCATTTACAAACAACTGACTCTACACTAGGTCCAATATTGCTTCATTTCAGTATTGTTGTATTGGCATGGCTTCACCATTGAGTTGGTCATCAGATGTACATAGAATTTATCTATTAGTCAGACATATTTCTAAATATATGTCTCTGGTATTAGTCATTAGGGCATTTAAGAAGTAGTGCAGTAAGGCATAAATCAACAGAGACCATTATATTAATAGATAAGTCACATTTAGAAAAAACTGTGTAACTGATTATTTTGATCATTCGGTTCAGGAGTGACTGAGACCCTCTGCTGGACAGAAACATGAATTGCAGCCAGGAATGGAAAAGACAGTGAACGTCGAACTTTTACCAGTAAGAAGATTGCCGGAATCATGAGGGAATAAGCATGAAATCCTCCCAGAATGTTTGGAAAACCTGGGAAAGTTACCAGAATTTTGCAACCCTACACAGACCTACTACTAATACTATCTTTGTAAAACTGGACTGCTGCTGTGAATTTACTACTTGTTTTTGTTTTCTAGGACACTTTTTAAGAACATAAACAAGTATGAACAGCAATTACAGTATTTATACCTTGTTGATGCTTTCTAAATTTTAGCATGAGGTATGCATCAAATCCATTATATATTTGCGCTTTTAAAACCGGTTTCCAAAGAACAGCTGATTTATCTGATGCGGTGGTCAAATTTTATGAATTAGGGTGGGATTCAATCCGACCGCGCTTTGTCCACAATGTACGTTTTAAAGGCAATGTTCCCGTGTTCGCGGAGACCACATTCACGGTAAAGGCTGCATATATCGGCTCAATTGGAAATTACTTTAAATGGCGCATTGTCCAAAGGCTGCGATGGGATTGAATCCCAGCCTAAACGTCTTTGTCCTCAAGTTATGTAAAAGACTGCTGTATGTCTATGATGATACTTGGCTGAAAAATGCTAAATTATGGTTTCTTATTAGTATTATCATGAATTAGTAGCTAAATGTTCCCAAACTATTATCATGTAAATATTTAAAAAGACTTAAAATCAACGTATTATAGACCTTAAACTTAGTTAGAAGTACCTATTTATGAACTAACCCTAACCATTGTAGACAACGACATAAAATTACTTAAAAATACAAAAACAAGGAAACAGTATATTTACTTCTCTGTGCCTGAATGAACTACAGTATTCCCATGTAGCCTGGCCATAAGTAGTGAACTACATAGGGAAAATGGTGCCATTTGGGACAAGATGGTATTGTTACCCAGAATGCCCTTTACCTCCATTCAGCAGTACTATAATAATAATAATAATAATAATAATAATAATATGCCATTTAGCAGAAGGAGGGTTACGTCTGAAATGGCACCCTATTCCCTATATAGTGCACTTTAGGGCATAGGGGTGCCATTTCAGATGTAGCCTTGGACTTCTCTCAAAACCTCTCTAAGGTAGACTGTAGATTTGCTTTCCATCTTTTTCTCTCCTTTCTCTCTCTTTCTTTTGATCAGTATTTCTTCATGACGTGTTTTCATTATTTCATGGACTAACCGTGTACTCTGACAGTGTACTCAATCCCAAATGGCACCCTATTCCCTATATAGTGCGCTACTGGAGGTCTGCAGCCCTTGATTTGTGTTCCTCAGGAGCAGAAGTCTAAACCATATTTGTGAACACTTGGGCTTCGTACTTGGTAACATTAGATAACTTTTTCTCAGTCTCAAAATGCCCATCAGCCAATTAAAATCGGCGACGTAGTTGCACGTGATAAAACGCTACGTTAGCTGTTCATTACATAATCTGGCACATTTAGCCTTATGCTAACCTGACCAGGTGGCAGTGATTATTTCCTGTAATAAATTCCACATCAGCCTATCAAGATCTTAGACTTTATATCCACCAACCAATGGACATTTCTTAAAATAGGTAAACTTGGCCACCAGATGGATATTTTAAACCTCTAAATTAAAGGTTTAATTTTGCACCACTTGGTCTGTCATAGTAGTAGTGTGCCAATATTGCATGATGATGCATCCTTGACTAGGTTACTAGCTACTAAAATTCAAGAGGCACATTTTTGCTTATCCATTTCACACACATTCATGTGCTTTTACGAGAATAAGATAAAGGTCTATACAACATTTAAGTTTATCGTACATCGTTAGCGTATGCCACTAAGGCGGTCGACTTCGGGGTACAGTAACCGTGGGTTTGAGGCTGCATAAAGCAAAAAACAACATATAAATGAAAATGAGCAGAAGCCAGGCTCACAACACTGAGCTATTCGTCCAGTTTAAAGGTTGTACTTATTTTAGTAACTTTGATTAGCAGATGGTGCGGTTTGACTTCTGTTAAGGATGCTCTCACGGAAAAGTGTCCCACTACGTCAACATTTGTAATTGACTGATGCAGAATTTGTTAACGGACATGATCACTGCCACCTGGTCAGGTTTGCATAGGGCTAAATGTGCCAGGTTATCGACTGGGAACAGCTAAAACAACATTTTATCACGTGCAACTACGTCAACGATTTTAATTGGCTGATGCGCATTTTAAGACAGAGAAACTCGAAATTTAAACTAATGGATGAAATAATGCCTTGAATACTTGATATTTGTCATTAAAAAACTGTAAAAAGGAGATTTGGGTCTGGCTTACGTTTGTTGTGATAGGTATAACATATTTTGGGGGGGTTTGTGATAAAGCACTTCCATAATGTGGTAGGTGTGCCTAGGATTATTTTTTTATTTAATCCCAGGTTTTCCAGAAATCCTGGTTGGAGGATAATGGATTTCCTGTTTATTCTCTCCTGATTCATGGAATATTCCAACTGGGATTTCTGGCAAACCTGGGCATTTTGGGAAAGTTACAGGAGTATGGTGGATGGATGGATGGATTTATGAATGTATGAAGAAATGATGGTAATTAAATAAACTGGAATGTCGCTAAAATATTTGACACGTTTATTTCTTAACAGCTTCTTGGCTTTCCTGAAACCAGAATTGTTGCAACACTTCTACACACAAAAAAAAGAAAGGAAGAAAATACTGTTTCAGTAACAATTGTTGATCTAAGAATCAATGAATGTTGGTTTTAGGTGGAAACAACATTGAACCAAAACGTAACCATAAGTAGATGATGTAAGAATGAGTGGCGATGACACAGGCCAATGACAAACATACCCAATGATATGTAATGGGATTGGTGTGGGTTAAATCCCATGATTCCTTGCTCATTGCATATAGAATATACAGTATAGTCTAACAGACGGTATTATAAATGGCGTAAATATAACCTTATAGTAATGCCATATGCTATTCAAGCAATGGAGGAAAAGATTAGAGGGCTGCATCCCAAATGGCACCCTATGTAGTGTAGTGCACTACGTTTGACCAGGGCCCATATTGCTCTGGTCAAACGTAGTGCACTATAAAGGGAATAGGGTGCCATTTGGGACATACTTCGGTTTTGGCTTTGTGGCCGTTGTCTCCTTTTGAGATGTAACTTGGGGATGATTTTGTGCATCCTTGATTATCAATGCAATAGAGAATACTGGTCTATGCAATATTAGTTTTATTGTGTGCAGTAGCTAATTTGTGCTTAATATCTGTAGTTTTAATTTAATTAGGTGATGATGATGGCTGAGTGTAGAACAAAACGTGAAGTTACTGTAGCTAGAAGAGTAACATAACATAGTAAACAAAGTTAAATAATTATAGCTAACAAATCATAAAATTATGTTAGCAATGTTCATTTAAAAACTTTTTTTTGTTACTATAAACTTGTCACATTCAGTGTTGCACTTGCAGTAGCAAGTATCCATGAAACCAACGTACCCTTTAAATTAATTAACTGTGTTAAAAATGAAATACCAATGATCAGTGTTAAGCTTTGAGATGCAATTGGAGTTACAGTGAATACACGTTTCCAAACCACAAACATTTAAACGAAAGGCAACGGTCAGTACAAGGGAAAACTAAATAAATGTTCAAAGTGCATTTATGGTCAAACTATAGGGATCATCTGATTCGTCAGTGGTTATATTTCTGATGGGAGTGCACTGTGATAATTGGTATAGAGATGACTGAGGCCGGGATTCATTCCCATCCTGCTTTGTCAACTTTTTAAGGTAATGTTTCCACTTTCATGGAGATCTCATTAATGGAAAACGCTCAATTGGAAATTACCTTTACATGTCAAGCACTCTTTACACAGATCTAACGCTGATCGGATTTAATCCCGGACTGAGTATGTTAGCATTAGCCAAGGTGTTAGCATTAGCCAGCTCAATTGTAGCATACCAAGCTGTTAGCATTAGCCAACACAATTGTAGCATACCAAGGTGTTTGCATTAGCCAACTCCATTGTAGCACATCAATATGTTAGCGTTAGCCAACTCCATTGTAGCACTCAAAGGTGTTAGGTAATGCCAGAGATACTGGATATAATGACGAGATGCTTGTGTCTCCGCCCTAACAATGGGATTCGTTGTCCACAGAGCGTAACGGTGGGCTATCAAGCTCCCATCTATTCCTATCTTTGGATTGGTGGATACATCTCGGTATTTTAATACTTTTTTGAATATTCAATGAGGGGTGTTGATGTCAACAGCCTGTATTCAATGGAGTGAGATGCTATGCTAGCCTCATGAATATGCATAGACCGTCTCGAATTTCAACAGGGATAACGCTGAGAAAAAACACTATAAAAGTTGCTGAGATGTCAAGTGCATTACACTTATATCAGTAAACTCGTAACAACCTAAGCATTAAGAAACTTATATTAGATCAAATAAGCCTCACGTATCAAAATAGCTATTCATTTTTATCTTGACTAAATTCGGCACTCATTGCCCCCACTTGCTTAATAATTAGCTTAACGTGGACAGAGTTTTGGCCTGGTAAACCCTCTCGCTTCTTCCTCTCTGGTAACACTAAACAACCACTAACCTTCAGACCAGAAAATGGTTTCACCATTCTTATAACCTGTTTTTATTGTTAAAAATATATATTTATAACAATGCTGTTATCCACTTGGACCTTTAATTAAAATCAATTCATTTAAAAATTCCCATATTTTATTAGTTTCAGATGCGTTAAGGCTTTTTCGTTTTCTAAATATATATTTAGGAAAAAACATCATAACACTGTAGTTCTTCTAATAATAAATGGAAGCACCTGTAAAAAAATAAACAATAATAATAACTTTAATACTCATGAATAATACAGCTCTAACTCAGACTGACTGGTGGTGACATCATCGTCGGCCATTTTGTCTCTCCATGTCCCCCAGTTTCTGTGTCTCTCTGTGTCTCTATGGTGACCGGCTGGGCCACCCAATGGCAGGCCAGCACTTGCGTTTGTCTATATGTGTCTCACTGGGTGTGGTTGGAGGAGGGCTGAGGGGGAGACCCACTACCCTCATAGTCCAGGGCCTGGAACTGGGCATGGGACTCGACCTGTACCTCTACCTGTAGATGTGCCTGTTGGGGCTGGGGGTCATGCACTACCACCCCAGTCCCCTGGGGGGTGCCAGTCTGAGTCTGAGGCGGGCTCCCAGTGCTGGTAGTGGTGGTGGTGGTGGTGGTGGTGGAGGCCTGTACTCTGGGCCTCAGTGTCTGTGTCTGTGAGGAGAGGGGGAGGTAGCCCTGGCCTTGGAATATATCCTCTTCCTCCTCCTTGTCTAGTCCCAGCTCCAGTCCCTGGATGAGACTACTCTGTTGGGTCTGGGCCTGGCCTGGGTAAGACCCCATCCCCAATCCCAGCCCCGTCTCCAGGCTGTTGTGGGTGCGGAGCAGGTCGTCGTGTCGCGTCTCCATCTCAGTCAGCCCGTTGTTCCCGTTCCCGCTGAAGACCAGCCCCTCCCCCTCACCATCTAGCCCATCCTCCTCCAGCTGATGGACCAACCACACATAACCACCGGCAACCACCTCCCCCCCTCTGACCCCTCCTTCTCCTCTCCTCCTCATCACAGACATCACTCTCGGGGGTCTGTCTAATGGATAAGTCTCATCAGGGAGGTCGTTCACAGATTCTAGTTGAACTCTAACCTCTGACCTCTGAGGCATGGGGTGTGTGGGTGTTACTGGATTAGGTGGTGGTGGGGGTCTGCTAGGGGGAGGAGGGGTAGTGCATGGGGTCTCCGGTAGTCCCTCTGTGGCCCGATTCAGGGTGACCAGGTCTGGCCAGATGTGTCGGCTGGGGGACCCCTCATCTCCGCTGCCCTCTTCCAGCCCCCAAGCCCCAGACCCGGACCCATGCTCTGCCAGGGAAGATGCCGATGCCGGGTCATCCTTTATGTCAAGCTTATGGGTTTGGTTGTCGTCGTTGTTTTGAAGTTTTGAGTATAAGACGTGTCGCAGTGCAAACATATTATCTACATCCTTCTGGAAGATGTGCCAGTCGTCCAGTCTGAGGCTGTAGTCAGTCCTGCTCTGGTACAGGCTCTGGTTTACACTACTATACAGCTCCTCCAGACCTTGCCAGTCCACCTCCTCCTCCGTCAGGTTGGGCAGCTTAACCCGCTCGTCCGTCCCAGACTGGCTGAGTGCTATGGGGGAGAGGAGTAGAGGGTCAAGGGCTGGAGCTGGGAGTGTGTGGTAGTGTATGGGAGTGTGAGTGGGAGAGTTGGTGGTAATGTTGTATGGGACTGGGAGTGTGTGGTAGTGTATGGGTGTGTGAGTTGGTTGTAATGTTGTATGGGACTGGGAGTGTGTGGTAGTGTATGGGAGTGTGAGTGGGAGAGTTGGGGGTACTGTTGTATGGGACTGGGAGTGTGTGGTAGTGTATGGGAGTGTGAGTGGGAGAGTTGGGGGTAATGTTGTATGGGACTGGGAGTGTGTGGTAGTGTATGGGAGTGTGAGTGGGAGAGTTGGGGGTAATGTTGTATGGGACTGGGAGTGTGTGGTAGTGTATGGGAGTGTGAGTGGGAGAGTTGGGGGTAATGTTGTATGGGACTGGGAGTGTGTGGTAGTGTATGGGAGTGTGAGTGGGAGAGTTGGGGGTAATGTTGTATGGGACTGGGAGTGTGTGGTAGTGTATGGGAGTGTGAGTGGGATAGTTGGGGGTAATGTTGTATGGGACTGGGAGTGTGTGGTAGTGTATGGGAGTGTGAGTGGGATAGTTGGGGGTAATGTTGTATGGGACTGGGGGTGTGTGGTAGTGTATGGGAGTGTGAGTGGGAGAGTTGGGGGTAATGTTGTATGGGACTGGGAGTGTGTGGTAGTGTATGGGAGTGTGTGGTTGTGTTGTTTGGTCACACGTCATGCAGTCATGCCCCGCAGCAGTATCCAGTCTGCAGCCTCCTCTATGGCAGTCAGCTCCTTGGGGTTAGTGCCCCTTCCCCCACTCACACACAAACCCACACACACACACACACAGAGTTTGGCCCAGTAAACACAGCACCCAAGCTGAAGCCATAAGCAGCAGAGCAAACACAAGTCATCTTGACAGAAAATGACAATATTTCCTCAAAGATACATAAAATGTTCAGATCTGCCATTAGACTAGCTAAACTAAAAAAGAAGACTGATGATAGGCTTGTTGTTTTCTAATGAATATCCAGGTAACCTGGAAACAAGAAAATGGAATCTGGGAAGTAAAGGAGGGGAAGAAAAAGGGATGATGAACATCTGGAAAAAAGGAGTGTTGAGGAAGGAGAGAGATGAGCCTGCTGTGTGGTGTATTCCCAGAAAAGAAAAGAAAAATGTATTAGAAAAATACAGTTAGGGCCGATATACTAAGGTTGGAATCATAGTTAGGGTATATGCTTACTATCAATAAGGTTGGAGTTGATTCCATTTCAATTCAGTCAATTAAATTAAATTCCAACAATTGGAAAAGTCCTTGACTGAATTGAAATGGAACTGACCCCCCCAAACCTGATACACACCCTGTTTCATTGTTGATTGCTAGAGGGAGCGCTTTCAAACCACTCTGGCCTACATGCGTGTATGAAGTACTATAGAGCAGGGATACTCAAACCTGGACTAGTTCCATTTGTCATTTTTACCTGGTAGTTAATTGCACTCCCCTGGTGCCCCAGGTCTAAATCAGTCCCTTAATAAAGGGCTGAAAATAAGCAGTGGAACTGGACTCGAGGTCCAGATTTAAGTCACCCTGCTATAAAGAGGGAAAATAGGGGAGGGTTTTATATATAAGTATACTATAGGCTAAGAGACTCACAGAAAGGACTGGCTTGGTCTCCTCTTTGACCACTTTCGATGCCGCTGTTGCCTGGTAAGCAGGTGCCCAGAAACAGAGGTCAATAGGTCAGAGGTCAGGAAGAGGGACAACGAAGTCCCAGCAACTCAAGTGCCCATTCTACTACTCTAATAATGCCATGAGGAAAATGGATGCCATTCTGAATGATGCCATGTTGCACAAGTACAATGACTGAGTATCATTATGGCTTACTAAGTAAGTTGATGTATTTATGTATGTGTGCGTCCCAATTGACAGACACTATATTCCCTATATAGTGCACTTATTTTGGCAAAATTCTGTCAAAAATAGTGCACTACATAGGGAATAGGGTGCTATTTTAGACACAGCCTATGTCTTTGGTCAGGTAGTGTGGAAGATGGTGATGTTATATTAGTAACATATCCGTGATCGTGCGATGCATGAATGAAATGGATGAATGCCATGAATGAATGATTGACTCCATATGCTGTCATGCATTTTCATTCACATGCAGGTGACACACATTTATTAGGTGTGTGTGGGGGGGTTCATTATGTGAAACTGTTTTTTTGCACTTATATACTGTAATAATACATATTAAATTGCCACACTGACCAGAAAGGTCTAATTCAGTTTGACTAAATATACATTTATTCGTAACTTGAGTGGCCAACATGGAAATGTGTGAGAGTCGGGCATACCAGTTGAGCTCTCTGAGCCTACTTGTCAAGCCAAGACCGGCCAAAAAGTGACTTTTCAGTCTGACAGATGTTCTAAATAGATACGACTGATGCATGTGGTGGTGCAAGGAGCTACAGAAACAGATCTGCACGTTGGTGTTTGACTCAAACAGCAGATAAGGTGGTCTGCTATCTGGGGGGTTCAGGTGGGTAAACATTTTTCTGTTGTTATTATGGAGAATAATGCTGTATTGTAGAAAGATGATACCCCCTCAGACTTCACGATGACAGTGGAAGAAGCTACCTTCAATTAAGAAGAAATCAAAAGATCTAATCAATCGATTATTAGTTAGCGTAGGCAGCTCCCCCGGCATGCAGTCACACACCAAGCAGCTCGACGCCTTACGGATTATTAGTGCGAATGAGTCAATGAGTTGGCCCATGCAGTTATTAGGAAGAGAAGCCTCTTTCAAAGAGAGAGGCTACATCCCAAATTACACCCTATTCCCTATGTAGTGCACTACTTTTTGACCAGGACCCATAGGGTTCTGGTCAAACGTAGTACACTACATAGGTAATAGAGTGCCATTTGGGACGTATCCAGAGAGATCATAAAAGAAGTGTGGATACCTGTGTGGTTCATAGCTGCCTCCATCTTTACCTCCTGATCAGGAAAATAAGAGCAGTTCCAATGTTAATGTCTCAAATCAAATAAGAGATGAGGGGGAATAAGAGAAAATAATGAATCATTCACATTGGAGATGCCTCTTCATGCACAGAACAGGACAGACCAGACCGCTAGGCCCCTAGAGGAGAAATGATGGTGCAATTTGAGTATGGATGGATAGAGAGAGAGAGGGGTAGAACAAGGAGGAGAGGAGGTGCATGTTGGGGGAGGGTGGAGGGGATGGATAGGGATGGAGGGAGGAAGGTATATTTATTTGGGTTCCCGTACAAAAAAAGATTGCAGTTAGAGTGCAGTATAACTGCAGTATGCTGCAAATACTGCATCCAAAATACGTTTTTTTTTTACTGCAGTAATTTTGCAGTGTAACTGTAGTTAGTGTGCAGTTCAACTGCAGTGCACTGCAGTTATTCTGCAATTACTGCGTCCAAAATACCACAGTCGACTGCAGTTACTGCACCTTTATTGCAGTTTCAAAACGGCAATCTCTTTTTGTAAGATAGATAGATAGATAGATAGAGATTGTATGACGGTTCCCGGCTTCCCTTGGAGGTAAAAAAGTTATTCAGTCAGTCAGGTGATGATGATGTGATGCCCATGGGTGAGTCCAAAACACAAACACATGATGTTATTAAAGTTTCCAAATCATCAGGCAGTGATATGATAACTTGTTCTTAAACTTAGTAGCACACAGCCAATATAACCCCCCCCACCCCCCAAATATCTTCACAGAAATATGAACTATTGTGGACTATTGTGCGTCTACTGTGCTGGTATAATGAGTTCACTGAGAGCAAGTCTAAAACCAAGAGCTCATATCATCATGGCAATGTTATTAACTGTTGCTAGTGTGATGTCATCTCTTGGGGACACTCAGCTGTAAATAGCCGTCACGTGGTGAAAAACTAGATGTAGTCACCAGAGAAGCCAGGCTAATCTGGTGTAAAGTGACAGGCTCAATAAGCTTGTTGACAAAGCTCTCATAGTTAACACTCTGTGTGAGTCACTGAAGGCAGGGTGTCTGGCCAGAGCACACAATAGGATAGGCAACGTGGCAAAAGACTTGGGTGAAGTCCAAAATGACCTATTGACCCCGGTCAAAAGTAGTGCACTTAATAGCGAATAGGCTGCCACATGGGATGCCGATTTAGAGGGACGCTTATTTTACACCACTACCCACAGCAGAATGAGCTAAACTGAGGGACACACTAGTCGGTCTGCATCTCAAATGGCACCCTATTCCCTATGTACAGTCGTGGTCAAAAGTTTTGAGAATGACACAAATATTAATTTTCACAAAGTCTGCTGCCTCAGGTTTTATGATGGTAATTTGCATATACTCCAGAATGTTATGAAGAGTGATCAGATGAATTGCAATTCATTGCAAAGTCCCTCTTTGCCATGAAAATGAACTTAATCCCCCAAAAACATTTCTACTGCATTTCAGCCCTGCCACAAAAGGACCAGCTGACATCATGTCAGTGATTCTCTCGTTAACACAGGTGAGAGTGTTGATGAGGACAAGGCTGGAGATCACTCTGTCATGCTGATTGAGTTAGAATAACAGACTGGAAGCTTTAAAAGGAGGGTGGTGCTTGAAATCATAGTTCTTCCTCTGTTAACCATGGTTACCTGCAAGGAAACACGTGCCGTCATCGTTGCTTTGCACAAAAAGGGCTTCACAGGCAAGGATATTGCTGCTAGTAAGATTGCATCTAAATCAACCATTTATCGGATCATCAAGAACTTCAAGGAGAGAGGTTCAATTGTTGTGAAGAAGGCGTCAGGGTGCCCAAGAAAGTCCAGCAGGCGCCAGGCGCAAGTTGATTCAGCTGCGGGATCGGGGCACCACCAGTGCAGAGCTTGCTCAGGAATGGCAGCAGGCAGGTGTGAGTGCATCTGCACGCACAGTGAGGCAAAGACTTTTGGAGGATGGCCTGGTGTCAAGAAGGGCAGCGAGGAAGCCACTTCCCTCCAGGAAAAACATCCGGGACAGACTGATATTCTGCAAAAGGTACAGGGATTGGACTGCTGAGGACTGGGGTAAAGTCATTTTCTCTGATGAATCCCCTTGTTTGAGGCATCTGGAAAACACCTTGTCTGGAGAAGACAAGGTGAGCGCTACCATCAGTCCTGTGTCATGCCAACAGTAAAGCATCCTGAGACCATTCATGTGTGGGGTTGCTTCTTAGCCAAGGGAGTGGGCCCACTCACAATTTTGCCTAAGAACACAGCCATGAATAAAGAATGGTACCAACACATCCTCAGAGAGCAACTTCTCCCAACCATACAAGAACAGTTTGGTGATGAATAATGCCTTTTCCAGCATGATGGAGCACCTTGCCATAAGGCAAAAGAGATAACTAAGTGGCTCGGGGAACAAAACATCGACATTTTGGGTCCATGGCCAGGAAACTCCCCAGACCTTATTACCATTGAGAACTTGTGGTCAATCCTCAAGAGGCGGGTGGACATACAAAAACCCACAAATTCTGACAAACTCCAATCATTGATTATGCAAGAATGGGCTGCCATCAGTCAGGATGTGGCCCAGAAGTTAATTGACAGCATGCCAGGGTGGATTGCAGAGGTCTTGAAAAAGGAGGGTCAATACTGCAAATATTGACTCTTTGCATAAACTTAATGTAATTGTCCATAAAAGCCTTTGACACTTATGGAATGCTTGTAATTATACTTCAGTATACCATAGTAACATCTGACAAAAATATCTAAAAACACTGAAGCAGCAAACTTTGTGAAGACCAATACTTGTGTCATTCTCAAACTTTAGGGAATAGGGTGCCATTTGAGATACAAACTAAACCACTTCCACAGCAGAAGGAGTTGAAATGAGGGACACAATATTAGGTTATCATTACATCAGAGACCAGTTCAAAGCTCTATTTCGGGTTGTTGCCATACCATTCTGAGTGACTGGCTTGGCTTGGCTGCAGAGGGTTTCCCTGTGTGTGTCATGACTACAATACAAAACAAAGTGATTCACTTTGTAAAACCCTGGAGAAATCCAATAACCATAAACTCTGGATAACACCGGAGTTCAAATCATGCAGTGATGAAAACATTATAAATGTCCAATTTCCTGTGAAAGTATAAAAAGGTCATAGTGTGTCTCATCGTGGGTGCTGCGGACTGGACGCAAATCCCTGGGGAGTAGACATCGTTGAGGTCAGAACCAAGACAGATCAGGGAGTGTGTGTGTGTTTTCAGAGAGAAAGAAACACACACAATGGAGACATAAGAGAGACACACATAGAGGACTTAATGACGACCCGTCAACCTTCCTATGTTGAAACGTTTGCGAACATTAGTGAGCGACTCACCCCCGTTTACATGCTACTAATGACATGCAGGTACCGGTCAGGACTGAAACTGGGTCAAATAGTTCTTTTCATATGCCTATTATTTTGTGTTTCAGTTTAGGGTTTCAAAATTCCAGAAACTTTGTACTCGGATTTCCTGCTTATTCCGTCCTGATTCCAGGTATCTTCCATCCGGTAGCTCTGAAAAACCTGGGAAAGTTACTGGAATTTTTTAATCCTAAAGTGAAAAACATGTTTTATGTATGTACAACGTGTTTACCCTAATCAACCACTACAGTGGCTAGTCTTCAGATCCATTTCAGTCTCTGTTCTGTTGTAGTCTCCTGTTGTAGACCAGATGTAGGTAACCCGCTCAAGGGTGAAGTTTCCCCTAGGTACAGATCTAGGATCAGCTTCCCCTCTCCAATCCTCACCTTAACCATTAAAGGGGCAAATGACAAACTGACCCAAAATCAGCGTCTAGGGACAACTTCGCCCTACTCTGAGGTAACCCAGTAGAAATAGCAGTAGTAATAGTAGTAGTAGTAGTAGTAGTAGTAGTAGTGTAGCTACTACTACTACTGTTGTATCTGTGTGTTTACCTGTTGTGTCCAGGCCTTTGGGTCGGGGGTTACACTGCTTGTGTCCCTGGCAGCTCCTCATCTCCATCAGCTGAGCATGGAGGGCGTTCAACACCTCTCTGTCCACCGAGTACACCGCGTTGGTCAGCTACACACACCGACGGATACAGACGCAGACACACAGACACACACACACGTTAATACATAGTTTTTGATAGATAAACATTTGGCAGAAAACACAACCTACTAATGAAAGGTGCCTGTGAGTAGTCCACTCCGTAGAAATAGAAAATGAGTAAAATAGAAGATAATAGAAGTGATTATATGTCTATGGTCCACCCACCTGGTAGGGGTCGTTGTTGAGGTCAAAGTACTCAAGGAAGCCCGTAGCGAACTCACAGAACAGAGTGTTGTGGGTCTCATTGATGGTTCTCACACACCAGTAGGTGTTGTTGTTGGAACTGGTGCACGCACAGAACCCTCCGACTGAAGGAGAGGAAGGACAGGGTTAACCACTAACAAACACACAGAGAGAGACACACAGACACACACAGAGAGAGAGAACCCTCTAACTGGGGGAAACAAAACTAATAGCCTGTTTCAATAGACTGATATACTTGGTCATCTGTTCTGATGATAGACACTTTATTCTACCAATGGTATTCACTGACCTGTGGCAGAGGTGGGTAAATCTGTGTGTGTGTGAATGTGGCTTAATTACCGTGTAGGCCACAGTGCTTAATGACTAAAATTAGAATGTATGCGAGTACAGTACACGTGTAGGTGTAGTAACCACTTAGTACTGTACACGTGTAGGTGTAGTAACTACTTAGTGCAGTTACATTTAGGTGTAGTAACCACTTAGTACTGTACACGTGTAGGTGTAGTAACTACTTAGTGCAGTTACATTTAGGTGAAGTAACTACTTAGTGCAGTTACATTTAGGTGTAGTAACCACTTAGTACTGTACACGTGTAGGTGTAGTAACTACTTAGTGCAGTTACATTTAGGTGTAGTAACTACTTATTGCAGTTACATTTAGGTGTAGTAACTACTTATTGCAGTTACATTTAGGTGAAGTAACTACTTAGTGCAGTTACATTTAGGTGTAGTAACTACTTAGTACTGTACACGTGTAGGTGTAGTAACTACTTAGTGCAGTTACATTTAGGTGAAGTAACTACTTAGTGCAGTTACATTTAGGTGTAGTAACTATTTAGTACAGTATACGTGTAGTAACTACTTATTGCAGTTACATTTAGGTGTAGTAACTACTTAGTGCAGTTACATTTAGGTGTAGTAACTACTTAGTGCAGTTACATGTAGGTGTAGTAACTACTTAGTGCAGTTACATGTAGGTGTAGTAACTACTTAGTGCAGTTACATTTAGGTGTAGTAACATAGTAACGTACGGTTCCAAAAGGGGGCAGTCTGCCAGTGGTCGTTGCTGTGAGTGAAACATGTCAGACCAGGTAGACTACAGTCATCCCCCTTCTTCTGCCTCTTTCTCTCTTTCCTCTCCTTCTTCTTCCTCCTGATCTCGTTCAACAGCTGGGTCTTCCCATCCACTTCTTGGACAACCTCCCTGCATGACGGACAGACACACCCACCAATCAGATTACAGTAACGACCCAACACCCACCCTCTCTGCCCTCGCAGTGACCTCTCCATGATGCCAGTCAGTTACCATGGTGATGGATGGAATCATCGGAGGGAACTCTCAGACTCCTCTCTGGTGGAGCCAAGAACATGACAGGTTCTAGCTCCTCTCTGACCACATTATCCATTTTCTCTGGGCCATTCTAGCCTCTACCCTTCTCCCGCTCCCCATTTTCCTAAACACACAACAGTCACTGGATAACACCGCTGCTTCGCATTGGCATTCTAATCCGTTCCCTGTGCCTCGGTGCGCATCCCAAATGGCACCCCATTCCCTATATAGTGCACAACTTTTGACGAGAACCCTATGGACCCTGATGAAAAGTTTGTGACTCAACCACCTGGTGCAAGGCAATGGCTGTGTTAGAGGGACGGGCTGTTTCCCTCCTTCCACTGAGTCACTGTTTTGTTTCCATGCTGCTGCTTGGGACGATTACTTCCAGATCCCTGCACTGAAAGGCAGGCCTGGGTTTGACTGGAGAGCATGCACAGTCCATGCAAGTACCATGCAGATGTACCACAAGACAAGATAACACACAAGACAAATGGGGCCACACTGGCAGTGAAACGTATCACACTCATGTATTAGAGATGCAGTACATCTATAAAATTATATTGGTCAGTTGAGCACTTCTAGACTGCAGGCTCAGTTTGCATCCCAAATGGCACCCTATTCCCTCGATAGGGTAGTAGTGCACTACATTTGACCAGGGCCTATAGGGTAGTAGTGCACTATATAGAGAATAGGGTGCCATTTGAGATACAACCTCAGTGTTAATGGGGTTGAGACGAACAGGGATGGGCGATGGACGATATGCGGCAAACACGAACAGACTGAATTAAAGGAGAGGACGAACTCACTTAAAGGGATGGAGCTGATCATTCTTGTTCTTCAACCTCTCTGCCTTCTCTCTGTTTCTCTCTCCTTTGCTATAGTAGCTGGTTTTAGTACAGAGGGAAGAGCAACTAAATATAGCGGTTGTTTTGTTTCCTTTCTACGAAAGCTTCAACTCAGGAGAGTCAAGATGAATGATAAAGGACTGATGACTCATAGGCTGCATTTACACAGGCAGCCCAATCTGATCTTTGGCCCAATTACTGTCAAAAGATCTGATCTGATTGGTCAAAAGACCAATAAGTGTAAAAAGACCAGAATTGGGCTGCCTGTGTAAACGCAGCCTACATAAGAATTGTCAGATTCACAATAAACGACTGAAAGATGGCCATACGGACAACAGCAGATATGACAATGCACTATAATAGGGTTTAATCTTAGAGTCCCCTCTGTCATAGTCACTATTGTCACTTTGGGAGCATTATACCAGTGTGCAGATTTACTTTTTGTTCTACATTTAAGAATAGTACACATATTTGGGGACCCCCAATGAGGTACATTACTGACCTGTTCTTGCCACAGTCACACTCGTCGGGTCGTCTCCTCTTCAGGTGACCCCTGACCTCTCGCAGGTTCTTGATCTTGTCCTGCAGGGCTTCTATCTGTAATGGAAGGCAACATCTACTTCAACTTGCAGGGTAGGCAAGGTGAGAGGGGGGAGGAGAATGGTGAGAAGTAGATTAGAGGAAGGAGAGGAGAGGAGAGGAAGGAGAGGAGAGAGAGTAGAGGAGAGGAGGAGAATGAGCTTCTTGACTCTTTCTGAGGAGAGTCATGTTTTCGGGAGAGGAGAGGAGAGTTCTTGGAGTGCTGCTTTTTTGTTCTGAGGAAGTTCTTTTTTTTTTTTTTTCGGAGAGGAGAAGATTTCTTTTTCGTCTTCTCTTCTGGGAGGTCTTTTGTCTTGGGGTTCTCTTCTCTTTTTTCTTTTTTCGTCGTCTCTTAGGGAGAGAGATGGGGAGGAGGAGCAGGTAGATGCAGACTCCAACTAACCTCCTGGTCCACGTAGCTCTTATGGTCCTTCCAGGCTCTGGACGAAGAGTAGATCTCTCTCTCACAGTGGACGGTGTCATTCATCAGGATGTAGCACCTGTGAGAGGGACGGAGAAGGAGCGAGAGGACAGAAAGGGAGAGAAAGGACCGAAAGGAATCAATCAACTAACCAAATATATTTACATTTACATTTACGTCATTTAGCAGACGCTCTTATCCAGAGCGACTTACAAATTGGTGCATTCACCTTATTTGTCACAAAGGGCTTAACTGCTTGCCTGATGACTCATCCTGAATTCAATTCAGTTGCTCTAACGATTACTCCGTACATCAGTCTAAACCTGCTATCCTAGAAGTTGTTTGTGCTGATTCACGATTTGTGTAGGCCGGCTCTGACCCAACCTATCGGTTTCTGTGATCAATTAGAGCAGTCTGAGTGTATTCACATTCTCATCAAGTCGGGGAGGAAGCAAATCCAGACTCATGGTAGAGAAGAAACGTTAGTGGGTGTGGCGTTTGGCCGGAGCCATGTGGATGGGTAGCCAGGCAACTTAACTGCAGCCCAGGCCAAAAACTACAACCCAGGCCAACCCCCCCCCCTAAAGCAAGTCAAGCAGACAAGGGCTGCGAAAAATTATTTTGGTAGGAACTACATGTATGTATTACTAGTGTGCCTTTGGTAGAGTTGGGGTATATGTTGGAGTAAATACTTGTATGTGACTGACAGAGTTGGGGTACATACTTGTATGTGACTGACAGAGTTGGGGTACATACTTGTATGTGACTGACAGAGTTGGGGTACATACTTGTGTGTGACTTTGACAGAGTTGGGGTACCCCACGGTGTTGGTGTCGTCCGCCAGCATCTCCTCTGACCCGTCTTCTGACTCCAGAGCCAACTCCTGGTCTTCCTGCTCATAGTGGCGCTTTCTGATGACACGTCTCTGGACCGCCGACTGGTCGTCTGCCGCAAGGTCAATGTCATAGATCTGCCCTTCGAACTCCACGGACAGAGATCTGGTGGATCTCGTGTGGACGAAACGTGGCCTGTAGCCTAATAGATAACCAAATATCACAGAGAGTTAATTAACCGACTTTTATAATTTCTTTACCCATGTATTCAGTATGTGTAATTGTGTATGTATGTCATTAGATCTTGTCCTGTCACTTAATCTGGAAACAAATTGCCCTTTCCTGTCAATAAAGATATTGACCTGAATTGAATGTGAAAATTCCATGACCAAAATGTTGCAATGGCTCTTTGTTCCAGTAGATGGTGCCACAACATTCCAAATGACCAGACCAGTGATCTAATGTCAGGAGATACCTCCACCAGATCAGTGATCTAATGTCAGGAGATACCTCCACCAGATCAGTGATCTAATGTCAGGAGATACCTCCACCAGATCAGTGATCTAATGTCAGGAGATACCTCCACCAGATCAGTGATCTAATGTCAGGAGATACCTCCACCAGATCAGTGATCTAATGTCAGGAGATACCTCCACCAGATCAGTGATCTAATGTCAGGAGCTCTATTCGTGCCTCTGTCTCTTCCCTGCATCTGTCTCTTTAGAGGCAGAGTAATCCTGAACAGTAAATCAAAGCTTAGGCTCTGGCAGACCTGGACATCATTCCCATAGCCCTCCACACACAGCCTTAAATACTGAGTGGTAAGTCCGCAGATGGATATAATTTATGTTACCATAACTGTCCATCTCTAATCTCTATGCCCCTGTAACAACAGCTACCCAGCTATCATTGAGCCAGCCCGCTCAGGAAACTATTCCCTGGCCTGGACCACCCTCAGCCCCATCCACATCCTCACCCCCATTCCCCATCCCTCCACCCTACTCACCTCGTCCTCCAGAGGAAGGTGGGAACTGGCGGTGTGAGCGTCCCGGACGGTCGGACCTGGAGGGTTTGTCGAGGCTGCTGTCAGGGCCACAGTCGCAGGGGTCCCTCTGCCGGCTGTCGTAGCTGCTGCGGGACCTCAGGCTCCGGGCCCTCTTCCTGGGGCCTTCCTTCAGACCACCTCCCTTACACTTCTGGATACGCCACTTCCCTGTGATCTCCTCCACACAGTGCCACTTCTGTAGAGGTGAGACAAGGAGAGAGAGAATATGGTTATATTAGAGGTGGATGATTTGAGTTATGGGTTTTACTCCACTCCAATGTAAAGGTCTTTGAAGACATTGAACGTGTCTCAAATGGCACCCTATAAAAGTAGTGGACGATATAGGAAACAGGGTTCCATTTGGGAAACAGAGTGACTCTTTGTGCTTTGTGATCAGCGCGAGAACCGCTACTATTTCTCAATGAAATCGCAATCTTTTTCGACACAACTTTGTCAACAGATACGCTTTCTCGGAGTCCTTGCCAGAACAACACGTATGTTGACTACTGTATTCAATGGAAAAAAAGTTGGACTAAAAACAAACTGTCTCTTAGAGTCTCATATGGAAAGTGGGAAAACGGGAGCGAGACACTGATTCCTAATTGAGCACAAGGCCTTTTCCTTTCCTCTGCATTGCGTTTACAGACAGCAGAGTGCTTCTGACAGACAGACATCTCAACCAGATCACAAACAGACGCGGTGGGAAAGAAACAGAATCCAAAAACTGAAGGGAAAGAAACCAGAACCACCACATCAAATGAATTGGATCAGTCTGCTGTCCATTGGTCTTTCTCTCGGTCTCTCGCTGTCTCGCTCTTTGTCTCTCGCTGTCTCGCTCTTTGTCTCTCGCTGTCTCGCTCTTTGTCTCTTGCTGTCTCGCTCTTTGTCTCTCGCTGTCTCGCTCTTTGTCTCTCGCTGTCTCGCTCTTTGTCTCTCGCTGTCTCGCTCTTTGTCTCTCGCTGTCTCGCTCTTTGTCTCTTTCTGTCTCTCGCTGTCTCGCTCTTTGTCTCTTTCTGTCTCTCGCTGTCTCGCTCTTTGTCTCTTTCTGTCTCTCGCTGTCTCGCTCTTTGTCTCTTTCTGTCTCTCGCTGTCTCGCTCTTTGTCTCTTTCTGTCTCTCGCTGTCTCGCTCTTTGTCTCTTTCGGTCTCTCGCTGTCTCGCTCTTTGTCTCTCGCTCTTTGTCTCTCGCTGTCTCGCTCTTTGTCTCTTTCTGTCTCTCGCTGTCTCGCTCTTTGTCTCTTGCTGTCTCGCTCTTTGTCTCTTTCTGTCTCTCGCTGTCTCGCTCTTTGTCTCTTTCTGTGTCTGTCTGTCTGTCTGTCTGTCTGTCTGTCTTCCAAACCCCTGGCTGCGTCACCAGCATAATCTAGTTAGTGGTGCACATCCACAATGTCTCCTACCCCCAACGCCATGAATCAGTCAAGTTGAAAGGGAGGGGTCAAAAAAAGTGAAAGCTCATTCGGCTAAGTAAGTCATGTGATAATTTGGCTTAAAGTGTTTGGGGTTGCATCCCAAATGACACCCTATTCCCTATATAGTGCACTACTTTTGACCAGGGCCTACTACCTTTTGACTCTGGTCAAAAGTAGTGGACTATATAGGGAATAGGGTGCTGTTTGGGATGCAGGTTGGAGAGGGGGGGACATATCTGCGGACCGTGGCGGTGCGTGGGAACGAGAGTTCCAAACAAAGGGCTATGGGTAGGATCGGGTTTCCTCTGTGGACCACTCGCTCAGACGCTCACTGACAGACAGCTGACTGACAGATGGCCCTGACAGCCATGTTATATCAAGAGGGAAATGGAGGGAGGAAGAGAGTAGGAAGGAGGGGAGATGAGGGGGGAGGGTGGCAGGGGAGGGGAGGAAGAGGAGGGGGGGGGGGGGGGGGGGGGGGGGGGGGAGGCATGCAGTGCTTTTAGGACTTTTCAGCCACATTCCACAGTGTGGAAAACAGTGAGTGAGGGAAAGAGAGAGAGAGAGAGAGAGAGAGAGAGAGAGAGAGAGTGAGTAAGAGAGTGAATGAGTGAGTGAGAGAGTGAATGAGTGAGTGAGGGAGTGTGAGAAAGAGTGAGAGAGGAGTGAGAGAGGGAGTAAGGGAGGGAGAGAGGGAGAAGGGAGGGAGTGAGAGGGAGTGAGAGAGAGAGGGAGTGAGTGAGTGAGGGAGTGTGTGAGAGAGAGGGGGTTAAAGTGGGGAAGACCCTACAAGTTGAGACTTGCTCTAGAAGTGGCAGACCCAAACTGCTACAGCTCTCTCAGACTGACACACATTATTAATTCATTTACAGATTGAGAGATAGCCTGCTGCAAATGAACTGGGTGGGAGATCAGAACAGAGAGCCAGCAGGAAGGGAGTCTTGTATAGAATAAGAATAAGACCGAATGGAACCTTGAGTTTATGACATCTATAAATACAAATGACCTTGTCCCAAATGGCACATATTCCCCATGTAGTACACTATTTTTGACCTGGACCGGTAGGGTTCTGGTCAAAAATAGTGCACTATATAAGGAATAGGGTATAGTTTGGGACACAACCACATTACTAAACCACTCATATTCTTCTCACAGTCACAGAGTTCTATAGGCTGTCATACTGCCCTTTCACTCTGAAAACACTTACATTTACATTTTAGTCATTTAGCAGACGCTCTTATCCAGAGCGACTTACAGGAGCAATTAGGGTTAAGTGCCTTGCTCAAGGGCACATCGACAGATTTTTCACCTAGTCGGCTCGGGCTCGGGGATTAGAACCAGCGACCTTTCGGTTACTGGCACAACACTCTTAACCACTAAGCTACTTACAATGTCTCATGTCCTTTAGGTAACATTTGGTGTAGTCTACTCCCCTTTAAATACATTGACCGCAAAGGCTTTGAGCTTTAGCCCTCCCCTTTAAATCATGGATTTGAACCTTGGTGGACAGGTGTCTATTGACCACAGACCAGTGTGTGTGTGTGTGTGTGTGTGTGTGTGTTCTAACCAGCTGTTTTAAGAGTTTAATAGACTTTCCCTCCATATTATTCCTTCTAAAGGAAGACCCCACAGAGACAGAGGGAGGCTGCTAACTAGGAAAATAGGTTAAATAATAGACAAGGGCTATAGCTAGCTAGGACTAAACCTCCACATGTATGTGTTGTAACTACACATTCGCTGGCTGAATACATTACATACACACACACTAAACCATCACCCCCACAATCTCGCATGCTACATAAAGACTAAAGCGGGTTCCCCCACATAAAGTGAGGGAAAAAAGTATTTGATCCCCTGCTGATTTTGTATGTTTGCCCACTGAAAGAAATGACCAGTCTATCATTTTAATGGTAGGTTTATTTGAACAGTGAGAGACAGAATAACAGCTAAAAAATCCAGAAAAATGCATGTCACAAATTTAATAAATTGATTTGCATTTTAATGAGGGAAATAGGTATTTGACCCCTCTGCAAAACATGACTTAGTACTTGGTGGCAAAACCCTTGTTGGCAATCACAGAGGTCAGACATTTCTTGTAGTTGGCCACCAGGTTTGCACACATCTCAGGAGGGATTTTACATTTACATTTTAGTCATTTAGCAGACGCTCTTATCCAGAGCGACTTACAGTTAGTGAGTGCATACATTATTTTTTATTTTTTTATTTTTATACTGGCCCCCCGTGGGAATCGAACCCACAACCCTGGCGTTGCAAACGCCATGCTCTACCAACTGAGCTACATCCCTGCTGGCCATTCCCTCCCCTACCCTGGACAACGCTGGGCCAATTGCGCGCCGCCCATGGGTCTCCCGGTCACGGCCGGCTACGACAGAGCCTGGATTCGAACCAGGATCTCTAGTGGCACAGCTAGCACTGTGATGCAGTGCCTTAGACCACTGCGCCACTCCTCTTTGCAGATCTTCTCCAAGTCATTAAGGTTTCGAGGCTGACGTTTGGCAACTCGAACCTTCAACTCCCTCCACAGATTTTCTATGGGATTAAGGTCTGGAGACTGGCTAGGCCACTCCAGGACCTTAATGTGCTTCTTCTTGAGCCACTCCTTTGTTGCCTTGGCCGTGTGTTTTGGGTCATTGTCATGCTGGAATACCCATCCACGACCCATTTTCAATGCCCTGGCTGAGGGAAGGAGGTTCTCACCCAAGATTTGACAGTACATGGCGCCGTCCATCGTCCCTTTGATGCGGTGAAGTTGTCCTGTCCCCTTAGCAGAAAAACACCCCCAAAGCATAATATTTCCACCTCCATGTTTGACGGTGAGGATAGTGTTCTTGGGGTCATAGGCAGCAATCCTCCTCCTCCAAACACGGCGAGTTGAGTTGATGCCAAAGAGCTTGATTTTGGTCTCATCTGACCACAACACTTTCACCCAGTTCTCCTCTGAATCATTCAGATGTTCATTGGCAAACTTCAGACGGGCCTGTATATGTGCTTTCTTGAGCAGGGGGAAGTTCTGGGCTGCAGGATTTCAGTCCTTCACGGCGTAGTGTGTTATCAATTTTTTTCTTGGTGACTATGGTCCCAGCTGTCTTGAGATCATTGACAAGATCCTCCCGTGTAGTTCTGGGCTGATTCCTCACCATTCTCATGATCATTGCAACTCCACGAGGTGAGATCTTGCATGGAACCCCAGGCCGAGGGAGATTGACAGTTATTTTGTGTTTCTTCCATTTGCGAATACTCGCACCATCTGTTGTCACCTTCTCACCAAGCTGCTTGGCGATGGTCTTGTAGCCCATTCCAGCCTTGTTTAGGTCTACAATATTGTCCCTGACATCCTTGGAGAGCTCTTTGGTCTTGGCCATGGTGGAGAGTTTGGAATCTGATTGATTGATTGCTTCTGTGGACAGGTGTCTTTTATACAGGTAACAAACTGAGATTAGGAGCACTCCCTTTAAGAGTGTGCTCCTAATCTCAGCTCATTACCTGTATAAAAGACACCTGGTAGCCAGAAATCTTTCTGATTGAGAGGGGGTCAAATACTTATTTCCCTCATTAAAATGCAAATCAATTTATAACATTTTTGACATGCATTTTTCTGGATTTTTGTTGTTGTTATTCTGTCTCTCACTGTTCAAATAAACCTAGCATTAAAATTATAGACTGATCATTTCTTTGTCAGTGGGCAAACGTACAAAATCAGCAGGGGATCAAATATATTTTTCCCCCTCACGGTAACCTAACAAATTGGATTTCCTCAACTTCTTTGTTTCAGTAACAATCTTTTCCATACAGTATAATTCCTCTTCTGTGTTGTAGTCTGTCCCAGCCATAGAACACAGCAGCCATAGACCCTTCAGCCAGCCATCCAGAAGTCAAATAGCCATTTACTGCAATCGTCCAATAATTGGACATTTCTGTACCGTTTGAACGAGGGACTAATTTTTCCCTCGTTCCCTTTCATCCCAGGCCCTTTAAAGGGCTGGCAGGGCCTGGTAGACCAGCCACACACACACACTCTCTTTAGTGGTTAGACCAGCTACTAACCACTGGTATACAGCCACAGAGTTGGCAGACCTGAACAATACAAATTGGTCCAATGTTCAGGTAGCAGCCTGCAGGGCGTTCTAATGTGAACCAGGCAGCTTGTAAGTGTGCACATATAAGTCGTAATCCTTCATTACAGACAGCAACAGGGGAAACTCTGGCCACATTCAGGTGGGTGTGTGTTTCAGGGAACCTCGTTACACACTCTTTGTTGTGTGTGTATGTGTGTGTGTGTGTGTGTGTGTGTGTAATGGGTTGAATAGCGGGAACCCGGTTACCGAGATTTACCGCCCAAAACCACTCCCTTTTCCCCGGATAAATACAGTGGCTTGCGAAAGTATTCACCCGGAGGGGTTGTATCATTTGAATTACACAACATGAAGATGCAAAATATTTTTTGGGGTGAAACAAACAGAAAACTTGAGTGTGCATAACTATTCACCCCCCCAAAGTCAATACTTTGTAGAGCCACCTTTTGCAGCAATTACAGCTGCAAGTCTCTTGGGGTATGTCTCTATAAGCTTGGCACATCTAGCCACTGGGATTTTTGCCCATTCTTCAAGGCAAAACTGCTCTAGCTCCTTCAAGTTGGATGGGTTCCGCTGGTGTACAGCAATCTTTAAGTCATACCACAGATTCTCAATTGGATTGAGGTCTGGGCTTTGACAAGGCCATTCGAACCAGGATCTAGTGGCACAGTTAGCACTGTGATGCAGTGCCTTAGACCACTGCGCCACATCCCCACAGCATGATGCTGCCACCACCATGCTTCACTGTGGGGATGGTGTTCTCGGGGTGGTGAGAGGTGTTGGGTTTGCGCCAGACATAGCATTTTCCTTGATTGCCAAAAAGCTCAATTTTAGTCTCATCTGATCAGAGTACCTTCTTCCATATGTTTGTGGAGTCTCCCACATGACTTTTGGAGAACACCAAACGCGTTTGCTTATTTTCTTCTTTAAGCAATAGCTTTTTTCTGGCCACTCTTCCGTAAAGCCCAGCTCTGTGGAGTGTACGGCTTAAAGTGGTCCTATGGACAGATACTCCAATCTCCGCTGTGGAGCTTTGCAGCTCCTTCAGGGTTATCTTTGGTCTCTTTGTTGCCTCTATGATTAATGCCCTCCTTGCCTGGTCCGTGAGTTTTGGTGGGCGGCCCTCTCTTGGTAGGTTTGTTGTGGTGCCATATTCTTTCAATTTTTTAATAATATGGGATGTTCAAAGTTTCAGATATGTTTTTAAATAACCCAACCCTGATCTGTACTTCTCCACAACTTTGTCCCTGACCTGTTTGGAGAACTCCTTGGTCTTCATGGTGCCGCTTGCTTGGTGGTGCCCCTTGCTTAGTGGTGTTGCAGACTCTGGGGCCTTTCAGAACAGGTGTATATACACTGATATCATGTTACAGATCATGTGACACTTAGATTGCACACAGGTGGACTTTATTTAACTAATTATGTGACTTATGAAGGTAATTGGTTGCACCAGAGCTTATTTAGGGGCTTCATAGCAAAGGGGGTGAATACATATGCACGCACCACTTTTCCATTATTTATTTTGTAGACGCCAAGAAAAAGCCATATCTCAGACTGGCCAATAAAAAGATTAAGTTGGGAAGTCTGAGATATGGCTTTTTCTTTGCAACTCTGCCTAGAAGGTCAGCATCCCGGAGTCGCCTCTTCACTGTTGACGTTGAGACTGGTGTTTTGCGGGTACTATTTAATGAAGCTGCCAGTTGAGGACCTGTGAGGTGCCTGTTTCTCAAACTAGACACTAATGTATTTGTCCTCTTGCTCAGATGTGCACCGGGGCCTCCCACTCCTCTTTCTATTCTGGTTAGAGCCAGTTTGCGCTGTTCTGTGAAGGGAGTAGTACACAGCGTTGTACGAGATCTTCAGTTTCTTGGCAATTTCTCGCATGGAATAGCCTTAATTTCTCAGAACAAGAATAGACTGACGAGTTTCAGAAGAAAGTTATTTGTTTCTGACCATTTTGAGCCTCTAATCGAATCCACAATTGCTGATGCTCCAGATACTCAACTAGTCTCAAGAAGGCCAGTTTTATTGCTTCTTTAAATCAGCACAACAGTTTTCAGCTGCTGTGCTAACATAATTTCAAAAGGGTTTTCTAATGATCAATTAGCCTTTTAAAATTATAAACTTGGATTAGGAAACACAACGTGCAATTGGAACACAGGACTGATGCTTGCTGATAATGGGCCTCTGTACGCCTATGTAGATATTCCATTTTTTTTTTAAATCAGCGGTTTCCTGCTACAATAGCCATTTACAACATTAACAATGTCTACACTGTATTTCTGATCAATTTGATGTTATTTTAATGGACAAAAAAAATGATTGTCTTTCGAAAACAAGGAAATTTCTAAGTGACCCCAAACTTTTGTAGTGTAGTGTAGTGTAGTGATAGATAGATAGATAGATAGATAGATAGATAGATAGAGTGATAGAGTGATAGAGTGATAGAGTGATAGAGTGATAGAGAGATAGAGAGATAGAGAGATAGAGAGATAGATGTCCTAGCCTACCTCTTTCCAGGTGATAAATTCAATGCAGTATTAGCATTATATTTAGCTTATTAATGATGGGTTTTCCATAGTAAGCTTCTAATTTATAGCGTCTGTCTCTTGCGCAATACGCACGCACCTGTGCTCCGCTGGCCTTAAAAAACGCTCCTTAGCTCTTGGAGTCCCGTGCAGGAAAAGCTAGACTAGAATAGCTTGCTGGACATAGCTACATCTATGGGCTTTTATGCTTTTCTGTCCTGCGTAATGTGCAGTAGCCTTTATTATATATGTATTGGATAAAGACACAATCATTTTGGCTTTTTTGGGCTTGGGCTCATTTAATGTCTTTAATGTAGGGCTCATGAAATGTCTTTAATGTATGGCTCATCAGGCTCAGGTAGCATCAGGCTTGAATTTTCGATCAAAGCTCTAATCAAATATAGACATAGGCCTTATATGCTTTATAATGCTTTTGAATGACACTTCCAGTTTTGGCGGGAAATACCGAGTTACCCGGGAGAAAAGTGATATATTCTCGGGATGGAAAAAATATTCAACCCTAGTGTGTGTGTGTGTGAATGTGTGTGGGTTTATGTATGTGTTTGTGCGTGCGTGCATGTGTGTGTGAATACACATACCTGCCCAGGCTGTTGGCATGGCGTCTGGAACTCTGCCTGTTGACACACCTCTTTGACCTTCTTGTACTTGGGCAGGCTGTTGGTGTGAGGGGTTGTTGGACTGCCTCCTCCGTCCTCCTTCTGCCTCAGGAGTTTACTGTAGAGGGACACGTCAGATTAGGGGACAGGTGATGGTTAAGATAGTGGTAGAGGTGAGGGTTAGAAGAGGGGCAGGCTATTGGTGTGCTGGGTGGTTGGACTGCCTCCTCCATCCTCCTCCTTCCTCAGGAGTTTACTGCAGACAGGAGGGACAGGGGGAGTTAGAAGTTGTAGTCCGTTTTTTTTTTACAAGCCGTGTGTCTGAAAATGTATGGAGAAGTAGCTTCCCATGCCAGCCCTCTACTCTCATGGTTTGCGTCCCAAATGGCACCCTATTCCCTATATAGTGCACTTCTTTTGACCATAGGGCCCTGGTCAAAAGTTATGCACTATAAGGAATAGGGTCCCATTTGAGATGCAGCCATTGACTGATGTTGCATTAGGCCTCCTGCCTTCCAGCTGCTGTTTGTGTGACGGGGTAACTAACGACAGAACACTGCTGTGCCTGAAATGAAAGACTGGTGACCTCTGACCTGTAGGGTTTTAGGCTGTTTAATCCACAGCCACATTAATCCACCATGTGTATGACGCCTGAACACTGGGGTTTATTCATCGGTTGCATCCCAAATGGCACCCTATTCCCTATATAGTGCACCACTTTACCGATAGGGCTCTGGTCAAAAGTAGTGCACTATGTAGGTAATATGGTACCATTTGGAATGCATACATACTTTATGACTGCTGAGATAAGCCTCTCCAGACCCTCCACTGTGTTACTCAACAATGGAGAGAATCTACGGAGCTATCCATCACAGTGCTACTGTATGTCTGCTTCCCAATTGGTACCCTATTCCCTATATAGTGCACTACTTTTGACCATAACCCAATAGGCCCTGGTCAAAAACAATGCACTAGATAGGAAAGATGGTGCCATTTGAGAGACACCCCCTCGCTCTGTTACTCAACAATGGAGAGAATTTACTGAGCCTTCCATCATGCTTCTACTGTGGTCTGTGTTCAACCTCAACTTACTTTTAGCCCTGTCAGTGTTAGCCTGTTCCTGTTTCAAAACTACTGAGCTATCCATCACTTTGCCATTTGTGACACAGCCACTGTCTCTCTTCCCAGCCTTAAACACTTGCAATACAGGCCCCACACAAGGAGGACAAAGGCAATGTATATGTCCCAAATGGCATCCTATTTCCTATGTAGTGAACTAATTTTGACCAGGGCTTCTGAGTCTCTGAGTCTTACTGACACACAGCACAGGGGTCTGGGTCAGGGCTTGGCTGTGATCAAGTTCTCTATTGCTGTCCCTATTGGGCTCTAGTCAAAGGTAGTGCATTATATAGGGAATAGGGTACTATTTGGGTCACAGCCTCTGTCTCCCACATTGGAAATGCAGGCCCAAAAGAGCAGGCTGACAGAAAAAGACGGCCCTTTAAAGCCCTGTGTGTCAACGCCTGCCTGTGTGAACTGTCATGATGCACCAGGCAGGCGTTCATAGCTCCTAACATAGATCAAACAATGCTCAAAATTATATTCCCAACCGTCTCCCCCACGGTCTTCCAACCCATGGTCTTCCCAACCCACTGTGGTCTGGAAGCGTCTGTCAGGCAGAAAATGTGTGTGTGTGTGTAGTAAATAAGTGGAAAGAATGGCTGGACCGCTGAGAGGACGAGCATTCACAAACCTATGGGTAACCTTATGGGCCCTGGTCAAAAGAAGTGCACTATAGGGAATAGGGTGCCATTTGGGACGAAGGATGTGTGAATGCTCGTCCACTGCCTGACACGTTTGGGATTCAATGAAATGTACAATTGTTGTCACACATTTCTGCACTAACTGCTGACATGGATCTGTGGTGTAGTGCCTTTTGCGTTCATGTGTGTCTGTTTAGGACAATGTGTGTGTGGAAAATGAATGTGTGTGTATGCATGCATGTGTCGGGTGTGTGTGTGTGTGTGGGTGGAGGGGGTAGGGATAAAGGACATCAGTTTACCCTCTCTCCACCAGGAATGTGTCCCTCCAGACTTTGGGTTTCCGATTGGGTTTGAATCTGGAAAAACAAAATCCTCTTTAGTCCATATAATTCACATGGGCCTGCCTGTGGACACATGGGCCTGCCAATGGATGCATCCCAAATGGCGCCCTATTTCCTATTTAGTGCACTACTTTTGACCAGGGTCCATAGGGTTACCCTGTAGCGCACTATATAGGGAATAGGGTGCCATTTGAGCTATGTTGGTCTTCAGTGTACAGCCAGCCAGAGCAAGTTATTACACAATATGGTTTTGTGGAGAAGCGATAAGGAAGTGAAATTTGTTCTGTATGAACATGAAACCCTGAATCACTGGCTTAGAGGATAAAATACTTTCCTTTTCCTTGCTATAGTGCTAAAAACGTAAAGGGACATCTGGCATTCAAACCAAAAAGTGGATGTATCAATCCCAGATTGTCCCTTTAAGATTCCATGAATGTGCAAAGATTGTCCAATTAGCCTCTTTTGGGGGCCAGATTTCACTCACATAAAAAAAACATACTATACGTTTCTCTTGTATAATAAGACAAACTTTGTCCTTATGGGACATCGTGGTGAAATTCAGATGGCAGTCCATGTGTACCTGTTGATAAAGATATGAATAAGAAAATAGAAGAAAAAGATGTGTCCATGTGTACCTGTTGATAAAGATATGAATAAGAAAATAGAAGAAAAAGATGTGTCCATGTGTACCTGTTGCCAGTCTTCTCATGCTCCAGTAGCTGGAGGATGGACTTCCCGTCCATGTCCGGAGGAGTGTCCAGCCCAGCGATGTGCAGGATGGTGGGAGCCAGGTCAATGTTCAACACCAGCTGAGGGTTGCTGTGGAGGAAAAAACAACAACACCATAAACAACACCGCCATAAACAACAACAACACCATAAACAACAACACCACCATAAACAACAACAACACCATAAACAACAACACCATAGATAACAACAATACCAAATGTGACACTTTGCTTCTTGAAAGTCCAATATCTTGAAAACTTGACTGCTGCCGTGCAAAACATTTTGGGACTGTATCAACAGTGGACTAATGAAAAAAATACCATGTTTATGAGTGGAGTTTTCCTTTAATGCTGAGTGCCAAACAGAGAGGCATTGAGTCCCATTTTCAGTGTAATTTGGTATTGTTGTTGATTATGGTAAGATCGTTTTTTGAGTGGATTTGTCCTTTAAGGAGATAGATTGGGGGTAAAGCCCTGCAACAGACTAGCGTCCTGTCCAGGGGGTGTACTTGTACATCAAGCGGCCTCACGCTACCCTATGGCCCATTCTGGCTCGGACAAGGCTTACTTACACTGCTCCAGGCTCGACGTTGGGCCCTCTGAGGAAGAAGGGTACTCGAATGTCAAAGTCATAGGGCATTGACTTCCCTTTTACCAGTCCGAACTGACCGATGTGATAGCCGTGGTCAGCAGTATAGATTATATAGGTGTTGTCCAGCTCTCCACTCTCCACCAACATCTCATATACCTGGGGAAAACACAGTCTTGCGTGAGCAAGGAACAGACAAAGAGACAAATCGACAGAAACTCACACTTCATAAGCTTATTACTACTGTGCAGTGCATTCGGAAAGTATTGGGAACCCTTGACTTTTTCCACATTTTGTTAGGTTACAGACTTATTTTTAAATTGATCAAATGGTTTTTCCCCCCTCAATCTACACACAAAAATTCGTTTTTAGTAATTTTTCCAAATGTATTACAAATAAGAAAACGACAATATCTCATTTACATAAGTATTCAGACCCTTTACTCAGTACTTTGTTGAAGGACCTTTGGCAGCGATTACAGTCTCGAGTCTTCTTTTACTGAGTAAAGAGGAGTGGCCTCCGTCTGGCCACTCTACCATAAAGGCCTGATTGGTGGAGTGCTGCAGAAATGGTTGTCCTTCTGGAAGGTTCTCCCATCTCCGCAGAGGAACTCTGGAGCTTTGTCACCTCCCTGCAAGGCCCTTACACCCCCCTCCCCCCGATTGCTCAGTTTGGCCGGGCGGCCAGCTCTAGGAAGAGTCTTGGTGGTTCAAAACTTCTTCCATTTAAGAATGAATGGAGGCCACTGTGTTCTTGGGGACCTTCAATGCTGCAGAAATTTTTTGGTACCCTTCCCCAGATCTGTCTCATAGCAAAAGGTCTGAATACTTACGTAAATAAGGTATCTGTTTTTTATACATTTGCAAACATTTCTAAAATCCTGTTTTCGATTTGTCATTATGGGGTATTGTGTGTAGATTGATGAGGAAAATGTTCTATTTAATCCATTTTAGAATAAGGCTGTAACATAACAAAATGTGAAAAAGGTCAAGGGGTCTGAATAATTTCCGAATGCACTGTACATATATTTCAATAACAAAATCCTAATCATAGGTGAGAGATGAACAGCATTATGCAGACAGTTGTATCTCCCTCCCTACACATTTTTCATAAAAAGGCATTTAAATAAAAACTAGAAAACTTAACTAGAAACAGATTGTCTTACCTTCTGAACAGAGTCGTCCACTGACATGAGTGTCTGTAGTCTCTTCCTGTGTAGGAAGTTGGTGAATTCCATGTGGATGGGCCTCATGGGGCCGGTGTACTGCATGATCCAGTGTTTATCCATGTTTGGGGCGTAGTTGTAACTGGGGGTGCTACGGCGAGGAGAGGAAACACAAAATAGTTAGTTAAAGATAATATTTTTACCCATTTTGTTCTCTTTACATCAGTTTAGATGAAGAAGAGGTTGTTGGTGGAGTAAAGTTTGGCTGGAGTAAAGTTTGATGTGTTTGATATCATTCCGTTCCAGCCATTACTTTGAGCCCGTCCTCTCCATTTAAAAGTGCCACCAGCCACCATTGCTTGAGATGCACCCCAACTTCTCCCTATTAGGACCAAGACCTTGCAATGCAAAGGCTATGAAAGACAGAAGAAACACAGTGTGTCTGTTCAACCCTCACTAGCAGTCCAGGTGATCTAGGAGGCAAGAGAAGCAAAACATGCAGGAGTCATCAGAATACCAACTAGCCATAAAGACACCCTTTGTGTGTGTGTGTGTGTGTGTGTGTGTGCACGCGCGCATGTGTGTAACCCTTTAAGGTTTCAGCAGTAGTATGCAACAACCACCTGTCTGTCATTTCTCAGCCTTCTGCAGGTGTCTATGGCTGCATCCCAAATGGCACCCTATTCCCTACATACAGTAGTACACTACTACACTATGTAGGGAATAGGGTGCCATTTTTGGGCTGCAGGTGTCTGTGGGTTCTACCATGCTGTCTGCTCTGTTTGACAAGCATCCATAACTAAGATGTTTACTGAGGGAAATTCTCTCTCCCTCTCTCCCTCTCTCCCTCTCCTCCATCTCTCTCCCTCCCTCCCTCCCTCCCTCCCTCCCTCCCCTCACACTGAGTCGACAGACCTCTTGGCTCAGAGGAGTCATTTGAGGGTTGGCACATGCTTAAGAAAATAATAGCCGTGTTGGATTCTGGGCCCACAAGTCAAGTTGGTTACAAGCCCTGGACTGTGAAGACAAGACGTGGGTAAACAGAGAGAGAGAGTTGTTGGTAGGTGTGGAGATGTAAAGAGATGTGTCTACTGTGGCATTATCTGGTACAGATGTGTGTGTGTGTGTGTGTGTGTGTGTGTGTGTGTGTGTGTGTTGTTGCTGGTAGCTGTGAAGAGGTGTATGGATACAGGTTCAGTACACCTGTCTACTGTGGTGTTTTTGGTTTAGATGCTGACGGGGAATGTTCCGGCAACATTAGGTAGTGAAAAAGGTTCAGACAAGGATATTTCACACTACATGCCGTGCTAGTTGTTCAGTTTGTTGCTTGACCTGGTAAGTGATGATGCTAATCCTTAGTGCATGTAGCTGTGAGAAGGTTGCACAATAAAGCAGTAAAACAGCTAGACCCTGTCTGTTGTAAATCAAAAACAGGCATCTGTAGTTTTGAAGGGAGCTGTGGAAGGGGAGTTTTGATGTTAATGTCATTAACATTCCTGGCCCAAGGTAGGTAGGTCTCCCTCTCTCTCCCTCTCCCTCTCCCTCTCCCCCTCCCCCTCCCGACTGGGGCTGCGTCACAAATCGCACCTTATTCCCTATTTAATGCACTACTTTTGATGAAGGCCCATAGGGGATAGTGTGCCATTTAGGACGCACCCTGGGAATGGGAACAACTGGGATGGGAATTAGGAACCTGACAAACCCTCACAGAAAACCACAAGAAGTGGTTTTATTTCTTTAAGTACATGTTAGGGTGTACGAATACACTTAGACTGGCAGTAAATGTCTAAACATATTTGGACTTCTAGCTAACTACACCTCGGTATTGTGTGGTGTCTGAGCAAGACAAAGCTGAACATTTAGCTGTAGGGTGAAAGTAACCTTAAACTAAGGGCCTTAACCCCTTGTGCTATCCCAGGCTGAGCGTATAGCCCTGTAAATTGTATGGTGAGGTTGTAGTCTAAGCTGAACACTAACCCTGAGAGCCAGAGAGGTAATCCCGGACTAATACCCTTTAGAACCCAGGCTAGATGTATTCTGTGTCCAAAATGGCACCATATTTCCTATATAGTGCACTACTTTTGACCAGGGCCGATAAGGCTGTGGTCAAAAGTAGTGCACTATATAGGGAATGGGTGTCATTTGGGAGGCAGCCAGACACTGACCCAGAGAACCTTGATGTATAAAGGTATAGTGTGACAGGTGTACAGTGTCCTATAGGCCTCTCCCTGTATAAGCTGGGCTCATTCCCCTGACCCCAACATTCCTGGTTCCCTCAGAGGTGCCCAGCCCGGACCCCAGCCCCCAGTGGCCCTGTGCCCATAAACAAGCCTCTTTGTGGGGCTTATTAGACCTCCTAGCTGGGCGGTGAAGAACACAACAGAGGTCTGAGGAGGAGAGGAGGGCAGGAGTTACCACAACTCAATCAGAGGAGAGGAGAGGGGAACTTCCGTAGTAAGACGTTAAGCCTGCAACCTAGACCTCTACTTGGAAAAGGCTGGTTTGATGTAACTCACAATATCTGGGTAGAGGAACCATCAATGGTGCATCAATGCCCATCAAGACATGCCACCCACATCGGACCATGCCTGGCACCTGTTCCTCTTCCCACTACACTGACCCTGGTGCTCACCACGACACACGGGAACCTTGGCAATCCCCCATGACCCCCCCCCCCCCCCCCCCCCCCCCCCACGGAGGCCTAGAGCCCTCCCCCAATATCCCTCTCTTTCCCTACTTCTACCCACTCACCCATCCGGGGGCCTGGTACCCCCAGCCACCTACCTCCTGCCTCACCTCCGACCCCCCCTCACCAGCCTGGAGGTTCACGCAAAAACACATGAATAATGTCAAAGGCCTGCCTGCTCCAGAACATACAATGCATTCCTCACATCCCTGCAGCCCTGGGGAGAAGGGGCTGATTGATATAGACAGGGTCAGGATGTCCCAGGGAATTACAAAGCAGAAAGAGAGAGAGACAGGGAGCGAGAGAGAGAGGGGGAAGGGAGAGAGGGACAGAGAAGGGAAGGGGGGGATGAAGGGAGAGCGGGAGAGTGGGTGAGAGGGGGAGAATGAGGGACAAAAAGAGAGAAAAAACTGCCTAAACCTGACCATGGTCTCCCACTCTGTCTTCTAGCCTCAGGACACAACTTCCAGGAGTGGAGGAGAGCAGCACAGAACTGAGGAGGGATATAGTGCAGGGAGGTTGGGAGGGAGGCTGCTGGGTTAGTGCCAATGGAGTGGCCTAGCTTAGCCCTGTTCGGAACCATAGGAATATAATCATAATTCTATCATGATTCTATTTCTATAATCGGAGGGCTACCACAGTTCTGATGCTCCTGGATGAGAGCTCCCCTACCGCAGGCTTGGCATGAGAGCTCCCTGTCCTCTCCCAGGAAGGAATGTTCCCTGACTATTCTTAGATGATAAATCACATCAGTTTCACGCTGCCAGTCAGAGGTGTTTGCCAGAGGAGCGTTTTAGCAGCCTGTCATCATCTAACGACCAGGAAAATGGCAGCATCCCAAATGGCACCCTATTCCCTATGTAATGCACTTATTTTGACTAGGTCCAATGGGATTATGGTCAAAAGTAGTGCACTATATAGGGAATAGGGTGCCGTTTAGGACAGAGACTTGGAGTACACAGAACTGTAATAATGTTTAGAAAATATTTAGAGGATAATGGCTGCCAAATCATAAACCACAACACTTCAGACTTGGGGAAAATTCCCCACTGCAGCAATACATAGAGTACTTGCATGTTTGGGTGTGAATCCATGTATCTGTGTGTGTATACATGTATCTCTGCACGCATGTGTGTGTCCATACATAGTGTGTGTGTGTGTGTGACTCACATGTGTTGTGATGCATTGGGGAACATCTCTGAGTACTGTGGGGCTGAGTCCTCCGGGCCATGGGGGGCAGCGTGGCTGATGACCATCATCACTGGCCGGTGAGGGTAAACCTTCTTGGACATACGGAAGAAGTTGATACTGTCGTTGGTGATAAGGTCCGTGAAATAGTCCTGCAAAGGGGAAAAACATAGTATTATCTTTAATACTCATTGTGTGGACAAAATTGTTTGTATTGTACAGGTTAGGCCACAATGGGCGGTTTCCCATACTCTAGGCTTTAGTCCTGGACTTCAGAGCATGTTTAAATTGAGATTATCCATAGAAGGTGCTTCATAGTCTAGGAATTGGCATAATCTGCTTCCGGGAAGCCAGCCCCAAAAGTTCAAAGTCTCTTATTTTCCAATGTCATGGTCCTTTAACAACAGGTCAAAGTAACATGGCTGCTGTCTTGTACATGTTGTTTAATGCCTTTTTGTTTTTACCTATCCAGGGCTGTGTCCCAAAAGGCATCCTCTTCCCTAAATAGTGTGCTACTTTTGACCAGAGCAGGGCAGATCTGCACAGAAGAGGTCATATGAAAATTCCTCTTTCATATATAGAGAAACCACTATACTGCTCTCCTAATTCCTCCTAACTCAATCCAGTAGCAATCAACTGAGTTAGCAGCTGGCTGCTCGCCCATGTGTGTTTACAGTGTGTGTGTGCATGTGAGCTCTGCATGTGTGTGTGCAAGCGGCTGCCTCATGAGTGGTTCTGTGAACCGGGGGGACAGTATTGCCTGTGACACCGGTGTTGACACTAACACTTGATGGTGAGAGGAGGTCAGTGCTCTCAGCCGGCACTGTGTTATGACAACACTGAAGTCTCTCACTCTCTCTCCCTCTCCCCTCTCCTCCCTCTCTCCCTCTCTCCCTCTCTCCCTCTCTCCCTCTCTCCCTCTCTCTCCCTCTCTCTCCCTCTCTCCCTCTCTATCGAGAGGGAACGAACGTCAGCTGTGAACAGCTATGCGCAGCAGATCACCTGCTGGGTGTCTACCAAAGGTGGTGAACTGTTGGGAAACAGCACAATGTTCTGTGGTCAGATGCGATAGGACCTGACTTTGGTTATGATGTGTCTTCTCTCTAAGGCTGTTATCTAGAGGCAGAGACCTCGTCCTCCAAGGCTTCAGCAGAGCTGAATGTGGAAGAGATATTTAGCCACTCTTGGACAGAGTGCCTATTTTCGTTCATTACTTTGACAACATTAGCAGAGGTATGTCATGCCACTGACCCATTCATCCCATATGTCTAAAGCCAGAGAAACTCTAATCCATCTACTTGGAAGTTCACATCAGAGTGTTCACCACCTTCCCATCACTTTAACTAACCTAAGTCTGCACCCTGCACAATTTTTGTGTCCTATGGCCCCTGGTCAAAAGTAGTGCACTATATAGGGAATAAGGTGTCATTTGGGACTGCTGGAGGGTAACTCAGGTCAGAGTCACAGTGGTTTGGAGGAGAGTAGGTCGGTAATACCATGGTAATGCCATGTGCGTGCAATCTACCAGCCTCTCCCTCCCTTAGAGCCAGTAAGTAATTAAAGTCAGCTATAAAACCATTAATAGCTCCAAGATGAATCACGTTAAATCTGATTTATACCATTTCAGGGAAATCCGGCTAACCCTGGGTTCACTTTGACCTGGCAGGGCTCCTGGCAGGGCTGAGCAGAAGTAGTGTGCAATGGTGCCATGCTAACGTGCCACTGTGCCACAGGTTAAAGCAATGCTTAGCTAATAGTTATGGCAAAAAAACATTCCCATGAAGACTACAGCTCTCTTAACAATTTCTTAAGAAAGTTCAGCTTGAAGGGATGCTGAATGGGGCAGTCAGCCTGTCATGGAGTGAGAGGCAAGCTTGAAAAAACTTGAGAAGCGGAGGGGGGGGAGTGAAATCCTTGGGCATGTGTATCACATCCTTAGTCCCAACTCAGAGCTTTAAAAATGGAGACAGTTTTTGGTAGTGAAGTCATGATTGGGCCAATGCATAGTCGAATCAACAGAATTTGACGATGCATTGGCATTGCCCTTGTATGTGAACTGTACACATAGAGATATGTTCCCTGAACTTCTCACCCTCTATTGACCCTCTACTGCCCACTGTGACTGGTGACTCCCCAGTGAACTGTACATAGGAGGACTGCCATCACCATCACTGTCACTGTCCACAAGTCTACATAATGGGATCTGGCTAGTGTGTGTGTCTGTGTGTGTGTGTGTGTCTGTATGTGTGTATGCGTGCTTGCCTGTATGTGTGTGTCCACTGCCCACTGCAGTGGTTTTAATTTATAGGGTCCTCTTGGGTCTGAAACCACAACGTGCTCATCTACTCGTCTCCCAATCTCATAAACACCTCAGCCTCAACTCGTGGGTAACTTTACACCTCCGTCTAACTCAACAAGACAAGCCATTTGACGTCTGAGTACCATGCCAAGCATTTATTTACCCATCCTTCAGACAGGCACTAAAACACCCTGGTCAACATGAACCCAAACCATGAATTCCTCATGCCCTTAGGACTACGTTAGCTGGCAGGATGTTGAAACAGAGCAGGTGTGCATCCCAAATGGCACCCAATCCCTATGTAGAGCACTACTTTTGACCAGGGTCCATAGGGCTCTATATAGGGATAGGGTGCCATTTGAGTAGGTGTGTGTGTGTGTGTGTGTGTGTGTTGAAGCCCCATCCCCTCCACAATCATGGAGTTACCCCTTCACTCCTAGCCAGCGTCTGACACTGACATGACAAAATTATTCCCTTCCTTTAGCCATCCAGAGATGTAGCATAGAGCAACTCCACAACACCCAGAGAGAGAGAGAGAGAGACAGAAAGAGAGCGAGATAGAGACAGAGAGAGAAAGAGATGGAGGGAAGCAAGAAAGATTAACAGAAGCAGACGAACTCCACAACCCCAGAAAGAGAGAGAAATATAGAGAACGATAGATAAAAACAAACAGAGAATGCGAGAGAGAGAGAGACAAAGAGAGAGACAGAGAGAGACAGAGAGAGAGACAGAGAGAGAGAGACACAAAGAGAGAGAGAGAAAAAAGAGAGAGAGAGAGAGAGAGGAGAGAGATTGAGAGAGGCAGAGAAAGAGACGAGAGAGAGAGAGAGAAAAAGAGAGAGAGAGAGAGGAGAGAGAGAGAGAAACAAAGCGAGAGGAGAGAAAAAGAGAGAAAGAGAGACAAGAGGAAAGGAGAAAAGCAACAACGATACCAGAGGAGACAGAGAGGACAGAGGAGCAGAGAGAGAGAGACACAGAGAGACAGAGGAGACAGAGAGGACAGAGAGACATAGGAGACAGAGAGACAGAGAGAGGAGAGGACAGAGCAGAGAGCAGAGAGAGAGAGAGAGAGAGACAGAGAGAGAGACAAAGAGAGACAGAGAGAGAGAGTGAAAAAACTAAAGCAGGGTGGTCATTTCTAAGAGTACTGTAACTTCTAACCCCCTGGAGGCAGCCAGCGCGTCTGCTTTACAATCTTTAAACGTTGTGGCACGCCACAATAAAATAAAACTGTATCTCAGAGCAAACTCCCGAGACGCCACTTCAAATTATTCATTTCAACACTTCCCCTTTAATTTACCCAGGAATCCTAGCCTGACTAGGGCAAGCCAGAGACATAAACCAATAGGAACCCTGCAATTAGTAGGGAAAAGACCTTACATTCAATTACATTCAGTCGTAAAGGAAGAACAAATAAGTAATTGAGATTAATGGGGCATCTTTAAGGGCAGACAAGGCTTGGACGCACGCACACACACACACACACAGGGAACATCACTAGCAGGCATGCAGACATACCTTGGCATACTCTGCGCCGTGCTTCTCCTTGTAACCGTTCCGACAGACGGTGTAATTATAAAAGCGGGAATTTTTTATCAGCCCCACCCATTCCCGCCACCCAGGAGGGATGTAGCTGCCGTTGTACTCGTTCAGGTACTTCCCAAAGAAAGCTGCGATGGAACAGAGGAGAGAGGGAAAAGAGAGTTACAATTAGAACAACTTTCATGTAGAAATGTGTCTTTGGCTTCACGAAAAGAGGACGGGATGACAGGAGGATTATATATTGGCTCTGATTTATTGTCTGTAAGAACCTGTAAGAAATGTCTCAAAAGCTGATGATTCACGGGCAATTTTTGGAAGCTTGATGAGCAATGTTTCTCATAACCACAGAGTTGGGTAGTGAACTGACTTGATAAATATCAGCAATTTTTTCCCTGTTGTGTGACCTTTCTCTGACCCTAACGCCCCACAAACACCTCAGCCCCATGAATCATGTACCTGGAACTGTTTGTTGACTTTAGTGACAATGTGTTGCGTTTGTATGCCTCTAACTCTGTCCCTCTCTGTCCCTTTCTGTCCCCCGCTGTCCCTCGATCCTGTGTCTCTCTTCTCCTAACTAAACATCCCTCTATCTCTCCCCAGTAGAAGCCTCCTGGGCGCGAGGCCAGTCTACCCAGAGAGAGCTAATTGTAGACCAACATATCAGCTCCAAAACCACAGCCCTCTTCGCTCTGCAAGCCACAGGACCCCATTGAGCTGCCCAGCCCAGAGCCTGTACGCCTCCCGACCCGCCTGCCCGCCCAGCCATCACTCAGACACTAGCTGATGAGCCCCGACAGGAGCCTGGCACCCACACCATGTTTGCATTTCTCACAGCGGACAGACAGGCAGGGAGAGAGGGAGGGAGGGGAAGATCGGAAGATCGGGAGGGAGGGAGAGAGGAAGGCTGATATAGAGGGTGGGAGGGAGGCAGATAGAGAGGGAGGGAGGGAGGCTGATAGAGAGGGAGGGAGGTAGGGAGGGAGGCAGAGAGGGGGAGGCAGGGATGGAGGAAGAGAGGGACGGAGGGAGGGAGACAGAAACAGAGGGACGGTTCCCGTAAAAAATTTGTGTTTGAATAACAGGGGTGAATGTCAGCAGCCTAACCGGGCATTTGGGGAGCTGGTGACTGACTGAACTCTGGCAGGGAGTGTGTGTGCCACTCTGTACGACCTTACCTGTCCTGTATCCTGTATTGTTGAGGTAGACGGCGAAGGAGCGTGGTTCGTGCTGGGCCTGCCAGGATGGCGAAGAACAGTTCTCGTTGTTGGTGTAGGTGTTGTGGTTGTGAACGTACTTCCCAGTCAGCATGGACGAACGCGACGGACAGCACATGGGCGTGGTTACAAAGGCATTGGTGAACGAGGTACCTCCATCTTCCATTATCTTACGAGTCTTATTCATCACCTGAAGAGAACCTAGAGGGGAGGAGTAGAGAGGAGAAGGGAGAAATGAGGACAGAACGACATTAAAAGATAATACACCAAGTTAAAGAAACAGTTATTCAGAAACATTTCTATGTGTCGCTGACACCAATCATGACAGACTGCAGTCTGCTATGGACTTAACAGTGACCCATTTAAGTCCATTCCAATTGACACAGTTCAGACAGTTCTGGACTGCCTGACTTTACACTGTTCAGTTTGTAGATCTTCATTCCTGAGTTTTTAAACTGCTGCTCAGTAGTGAGAGACAGTGTGGGAGATGGATTTTTGTCAGAGAGGAGGATTGCAACATTACATTTCCCTGTGGGGAAACATTGCAGTCAAACTATGATTAGAGCTTTTCACATGCCATCCTATTCTGTCAGAGTAAGAAGTCATCATAATCCATTACACTTACACTGTACACCGCTCCGCAAGGCCAGATGGCCCCTCTGTCTGTTTTCATTATGTTTTCAATGTAATATTTAATGTCAAAGACAGAGAGAGCGAGGTGAGGAGGTTCTCAGTCCCAGTGCAGTAGATAGCAGGGCCAACCATACACCCTGTAGATTGCAACACTGATCCACAGAGCCCCTTATAGTGGTAGTGACCAATACAAGACAACCACTATAGCTCCAGACCTGCATAGGACAGACCGAGAGATGTACACTAGGAACCAAATGGAAGGAAACAGGCAGAAAGAGTGAAGGTCCTACCTGAATTTGTCCAATAAAAATGCTTGTTCTCATTTTCTGTTACAAAACGTTTTGCTACAGTGAGCACTAATGAATACAACCCAGATTCATACAGCTAAGGCAGCTCTTACAAAATACAGCTAACAGGACCACCACCAGACCTCCAGGGGGTCAGCATGACAGTCTTACCCAGCTCCGTGTCCTGATCATCGGTCATGATGAGGATGATGTTGGGCCTAATGTTCCTGCGGTCCCTCTGGATGCGTCCCCTCAGGCCTCCCTGGGCTCTGGTGGTGCTGAAGGCTGAACAGCCCTGGTCCCAACCCAGGGACAGGAGGCCCAGCCAGGCCACACACACCAGCAGCATGGTGTAGGGAAGGAGGAAACCCACTGGAGCTTTCACTTCTGAGGAGTCGTCGGAGGAGAGCGAGAGAGACAGAGAGACACAAAGGAGAAGAGGAGTTAGGAGAGATGGAGTACTGTTGACAACATGTAATTAAAGAGACAACGAGAGAGAGAGAGAGAGGAGAGAGAGAGAGAGAGAGAGAGAGAGGGAGAGCAAGAATGAGAGTGAACGTGAGACAGTAAGATATACTGAGTGTACAAAATATTAGGAACACTTGCTAATATTGAGTTGAACCCCGTCCCCCCTTCTTGCCCTCAGAACAGCCTCAATTCGTCGGGGCATGGACTCTACAATGTGTCGAAAGCGCTCCACAGGGATGCTGGCCCATGTTGACTCCAATTCTTCCCACAGTTGTGTCAAGTTGGCTGGATGTCCTTTGGGTGATGGACCATTCTTGATATGCACGGGAAACTGTTGAGCGTGAAAAACCCAGCAGCGTTGCAGTTCTTGACACACTCAAACTGGTGCGCCTGGCAGCTACTACCATACCCCATTCAAAGGCACTTAAATATTTTGTCTTGCCCATCCACCCTCTGAATGGCACACATACACAATCCATGTCTCAATTGTCTTAAGGCTGCCCTTCAGCTACACTGATTGAAGTGGATTTAACAAGTGACATCAATAAGGGATCATAGTTTTCACTTGGATTCACCTGGTCAGTCTATATAATGGAAAGATCCGGTGTTTCTAATGTTTTGTAAACTCCGTGTAGATAGAAAGAATAAGAGTGAGATAAATAGAGGAAAAAGTGGTTTAGTACTGTCTTTTCAAAGCATTAGTAAAACAGTCTATTCTTTTTCCAGAATAAAGTCAACAACCGTCCCAGATTCACCGCTAGGACATTTAAACATATTTACTTCCCAGAAGTTATGTCCATCAGCTCACAAATCCTACCCCAACTCCACTATGCCTGTTTCCCAAAGGGCACCCTATTCCCTACGTAGTGCACTCCTTTAGACCAGAGCCCTATGGGAAACAGTAGGGAATAGGGTGCCATTTGATATGCAGACTATATATCCTTCAACAAACAGACCTGAAGACCATCCTCAGTGAGCCACTCCAAACGTTGAAAAACCTTACTATGAATGCGTCCCTAATGGCACTCTATTCATTATATAGTGTACTACTTTTGACTAGAGCCCTATGAGCCCTGGTCAAAAGTAGAGCACTATAAAGGGAATAAGGTACAATTTGGAACACAGCCTATAACAGTTCCAGCATGTGCTGTGTGTTGAGTGAAATATTCAACCCTTAAATAAAGATCAGCCCCTGAAACCTCAACCCAGCCTGAACCTGGACAAGAACACACAGAGAAACACAAACGACAGACACTGACCAATCTTCAGGCAACAATTAGGGAACTAAGAAGAGCTCACCTGAGTTGACGTCATCAGTGTTATAATATAATCTTGTTATTAACCCTTATTCCACTAGAAGACACATCCAGTGTAGAGGCCTGAATCTGCTTCTCTCCCTGTGTTGATCAACTCTACCACACATCAACTAACTCCAACTCTCCATCTCTGCCTCTCTCTCTCTCTCTGCACTGGACTGGACTGTGTAGCATTCAACTTAGATCACCACAGCAGAGCCACGCTATTGGCTGCTCACGCTCCAACGCCCTCCCACAGGCCCCACCCTGAACCAATCACAGCCCTCCCTCCCACCTGTCAGTCAACAGGCACCCCAAGCCCGTCAAGCGTGACAGGGGAGGCGGGTGGGGGGGTAATAGGGTGCCATTTGTGATGTCACTGTCGATCACAGTATAACTATAAATAACCACAGTATAAATAACCACTGGCTTATTGCCTCTCCTACATTTACCACGATCAGAAAGATGCCAATGAGTCTCTGAAGCTTTGGAAAGACGTTGATTTATGGTCCACTGGGGTTGATAGAATTTTACATCTGGTATTGACTGGGAATACAGTTTTATTCCACTCTTGATAACATTGTCAAGTCTATCAAATCACATGTTATTTGTCACATGGTTCATAAACAACAGGTGTAGACTAACAGTGAAATGCTTCCTTACAGTCCCTTCCCAACAATGCAGAGAGAAAAATAGAAAAATAATAACACGAGGAATAAATAAATTGTATTGTCTGTTAATATGACCTAATAGACTGACTTTAAACTGGAGACATAACCTACTGTTGAGTAAACTGTATGTGGAATGGTGAGTAAGTTAAAGTTGAAAACCTATTCTATATTTTCCCTTAATGCTGATCATGAAGGAAAACACGGAAAGATATTGATATGCAGCCCGTCATTCAGCCATCACTCCCTCTTGGCTCCCTAGTGCTAGGTTTGGAACTGGCCTTGGGCCTGTTTCCTGAAGTAGAGAGGCACATAGAGGCAGGGACAGAGGCAGGGACACCCAGTGGGGTTTTGGCCCAGAGAGGAGGGTCTCTCCATGGGGGAGGGCCAGGCTCAGGTGTGGTAGAGCCACCATTTTGTTCCAGCTCATTAGATCAGTATGGTGCCACTCAGCAAGATGGCTGTCCAGAAGGTCTCCTGTCACTGGGAGATGGAGCTGCTATTACAATGTCATGGTCATCATGGTCCACCTTCCTTCCTCACACCCTCAATCCAAGCTGCCGTGATGGCTGTATTACTCCTGGGATTGGACTTTACAGTAGTTTACCCACTGTTTTTGTAATCAACCCATCAATGTCTACCTTCTCCACCATTCCACATACATTGTATCTTCTTTCCTTCATAATCAGCAATAAGTGAGATAAGGGAGGTTTTCAACTTCAACAATCTGACCACTGTGTTTCATCATAGCTAGCTAGCGTCTGTCGGTCCAAAATATACATCACTCATAGATCTGTATGTCAAAACAGATGGTCACCAAATCATGATAGCCTAAATCTCTGTTTTTGGTTCCCTCTAAACATAATTTGTGTTAACTATGCCCTATTCCCTACATAGTGGACTACTTTCGACCAGTACCATTTGGGATGTAACCTGTATCTGCATAACTGTGTTGGTCATTGGTTTTCCATCTGTAACTCTGTGTTGTTGTTGTTTTTATCGCACTGCTTTGCTTTATCTTGGCCAGGTCACAGTTGTCAATGAGAACTTGTTCTCAACTGGCTTACCTGGGGCGGCAGGTAGCTTAGTGGTTAAGAGCGTTGTGCCAGTAACCGAAAGGTCGCTGGTTCTAATTCCCGAGCCGACTAGGTGAAAAATCTGTCGATGTGCCCTTGATCAAGGCACTTAACCCTAGTTGCTCTGGATAAGAGTGTTTGCTAAATGACTAAAATGTTAAATAAAGGTGAAATAAAACAAAGAATCTGCTCGTCTCCCCATAGAGATGTGTGGTGATAATAAGCAGCTATCAGTATGCGTCCCAAATGGTACCCTATTCTTTATATCGTGCACTACTTTTGACCAGGGCCCATAGTACGCTATGTAGAGAATAAGGTGCCATTTGGGATGCAAATCTCAGATGGAGCAGTAAGAGCTTTTTTGGAGAGTATTTCGGACAGGCAGTGTCCGGGACAGCCTGCCCAGTCATCCTCACAGCCCTGTACAAACACTGGCGCTGTTTAGACAGACCCTCAGCCCTCAGGCAGGGTTGGCAGGGGACACACACACACACATACACGCAGGCGAAAACACAGACGTGTACATACACAACACACACCGGATGTTAGAAACACTGGATTACACACAGCCTTGCGAAAAAAAAACACTCTACTCACACACGCACGATGAAGCCCACTTAACTCTTTACACTGTCACTGGAAGACTCTAATCAACCCAACAAGAGGCTACACTCAATACTCAAAAGGTCCTGTCTAATGTTAGCACCCAACCCACATTCACACTTTGTCCCAAATCAAATGGCACCCTATTCCCTATGTAGTGCACTACTTTTGACCAGGGCCCATAGGCTGCCCCAGAGGGCTCTGGTCAAAGAAGTGCGCTATATAAGGACTAGGGTGTCATTTGGGATGCATCATCAATTAGCCACACCAATGATCCGTAGCAATGGTCTTTTCATGTGACTTCTTGAGGAATTAAGAAGCTGAGAGGCAGATAAGGAGTGTCATTGTGTGATATGCCACGCTAACAGCCATGAATAGCCACATTCTCCTTACAACTGGAATTACAGCGCTAATACAATGCTATAAAACTTGATCATGGGATGGGGGAGCATATTGACGCTGTGCTGTGCTGAGGCAGCTGTCTTCAAAGACTGTGTCCCAAATGGCACCCTATTCCCTATAAAAAGCACTACTTTTGACCAGGACCCATAGGGCTGTGATCAAATGTAGTGCAGAGGATAGGGTGCCGTTTGGGACAGACAGGGGAGTTCCTTCTGTCACCTTCCTCTCCCATTAACTCAACTAAATTGAACATGATTCACTGTTAAATTTGACCTGATTTGATTCACATTTCTACTGACTTTCTACCTTCAGAGAACATAGGTCAACTTCAGGGCAAATATGTTACGCACTCAGCTATTTCTAATACTCAAGTGAAGTTCCAACAATGATGCCCACTCATCTACGAGACCCCTAAACACACACACCTTGACCTTTAACCCCTGACAGTCATGATGTCCTGACATTCCTGTGTTACCATGAGAGATGAGACAAAGAGAGAGAGCATGGGTAGCCTTGGGGTAGACCCAGGAACAATGGAGGCTCATAGCAGAGATAATTGACTACAGTACTTTCAGAAAGTACTCACATCCCTTGACTTTTTCCACATTTTGTTGTGTTACAGCCTGAATTTAAAATGGATTAAATAGTGATTTGTTTGTCACACAATACCCCCTAACGTCAAAGTGGAATTATGTTTTTAGAAATGGTTATTATTCAACCTCTTTGTTATGGCAAGCATAAA